ACGATATATTCTGCTCCCGTGTGTGCGGGGTAGATACCCGAACCATCGCCGAGATGCTGCATTGTGTGATATTAAATCGAGATAGAGCTAGGTTGAAGGCGAGAGGCTCGGAAGCGCAGTCGAAGATGTGCTCGCGTCCCCGGAGAAGGGAGGCGATGAGGGGAAGAGACGACTGCACTGAACGCCGTTCGAAAGACGAGGTCGGCTCTGATATAGTCGGTCGGAGTCCAAACGCGGTCACGTGGGATTCCGAGAGACGCGCAGGAGAGTTGCCGCCTCGTGGCGTCGTCTTTGAGGTTTTCTTGCGACGATCGCGATACACGTGGCGCCTCCACGGAGAGCATTCTTTAGGTGAGAGCCTATGTCAAGCTATGTCAAGATATGTAGGCTCGAGCCCGGTGCAGTGGCACGTAATCATCAGGACTCGACCTCTCTTGCAGGAACGAAACCCAGCTCTCTAGTCTCAAGCGCCCATGTGCACATATAGGGCATAATTGAGTATACCTCTGTACTTTCTATCTCTAGTAGGCTACGCGACGATGTATGTATACTAGTGTTCGTGATGCATCCTCACTCATGGATCCACCCGTCAGGAAAGTCGTCATCGCCCAGCCCAGTCCCTTGCTTCAGCGTGTAGATATGTGTAAGCTGAGACTTTCTAGCCCCCTTGGGTCTGCGCATCTCCTCTCTATGCTCTAGCACGGGGCCCGACCAGTCGACAATAACCGCTCGACCAGAGTCCGGAGCGCACCCAATGTCGCGCGGGTTAAGATGGCCTTCGGGGGTGCGTTAGACGGTAGGCAGGACGAGTCGAACTCGAGAGCGCATACCGCAGAGATCCCCGACATTCATCCACTCAAGCTCAGAAGAGAAGAAGCGCTGTTTCTCTGGCACATTGCCTCCAAAGAACGTCGCTCGAAGGCTTTGGACCAGCGGAACGCAAGTCAGCATCAGATCAGTCTCAGATGGTGCATCGACAAGGACGGAACCCACTTTGTCTCGTCCACGATATCGAGATACTGGTGATGCTTTACCGTTTTATCGAGGGTCTTCGTAATGTCGTTCTGAGAGAAGAGCCACATGACAGCAATCTGCGTAGAAAGAGTAAGTACAGCTTATCGCGAAACACGGCCGAAGCGAACTTACAGATGTGATGGGTTCGTCCTCCGAATGCACCGGCAGCGCCACGATACCGTCTTCTGTTTGCTCGTACGGGTTCCCCGAGCTATAATTGCACAAGATACCCGTCCAGACGAGGGGAAACTGCTTGGAAGTCTCAAGAATGTCTGCAGGACCTCTCATGTCGTACCAGTCATTTCTGAAGAGAATGCTAGAAGGGGGTGGCGTTAGCTAAGTGAGAGGCAGCGCGCGGTTCGAGGACTCACATATCCCCTATCTCATACACGATTTCAGTATCGTCTGAGCAGTGCTTGAATGGGTCAAGATCCACCTTGCTGTAGGTCCGATAAGCGTCCACTGGATAGGAAGAGGGTATCGAATATGATACTTGCCAATGCTTATCCCATATTGTCGTCAACGTATCGTCGTCAACGAAGCATCGAATGCTGATCTTGTCGCTGTTGGCAGTGCCAGAAGGATAAGCTGCAAACATAGACGCCACGGACGCTGCAGTGCAAGACGTGAGTATGTAGATCTGACAGAATGTCTGTCACGTGCAACACACACCCGAGCTCAAGTCTGTACTTTTCTGGCGCTTCTCCGGGTGCAGGTCGACCTCTCCAGCTTCATCCCAATCGGCACGACGTTTATTCCTCCTCGACTTGCGCTTGGAATTTGTAGTCAGCGTCTACCACCGAGTATACACGTTACCAAATATACCTGGTTTGTACTCGAAGGTGCTGAACTCGGCGTGGCAGAGTGCCGCGTCGCAGCCGATAGCCGAGCTGAGGTTCGTGTGCTTGAACCAGCCACATCTGTCGTTGCCTTTGCTCGGCGCTTGCCTGAAGTCAGTCTCGTCAGTTCCGAGACAGTGGTGGAGAGTATGATGCGTCTCGCACGTTGAGAACTAGCTGTCGGTGCCGGTCCAGGTGTCGCAGACGGAGAATGCCGTGCATCATCGTCGGAAGCGCCACCAAAATCCCCTACTGGATCATCGTCTTCGAGCTGGTCGTTAAGAGCAGAAGGCCCGTCCTGATGAAGCGTCATCAGTCTCAGTATGCGCTGGGTTCAATCGAACTGACCCATGCAGGAGGCGTTGCTCCATCGTCCACGAAATCGTCAGGTGTTGAGCTCACAGATGGCGCTCCTTGAGCCGTAGTACCTGTGCTCTCCTCTTCTGTCGCATCACCGCTACGCGCCGCTTGGCTACTGATTTCACCCGAGCGCGCGAGAGGTCGCTCCTCGTGCAGCATCTTCGCCCGTTGATGCTCCGCGTTCCTCAAGTTCGCAAGAGCTTCTTCCAACTCCGCAACGCGCGTATTCTGAAGCTGCAGGGCCTGCCTGCACGCACCGAGCTGGCGGCACATGTGTGTCAGTATGCAAGGTTACACATCGACAAGTACTAAAGACACACCTGCGTCGACAACGCCTCGCTCCTCCTCTCCGACTGTCCCCTCCCTTAAACTTCCTCTTGGACGCGCAAGGTGAGCTTCTCGGCCTGGCCTTCGAGAGCTCGTCGATTCTGTTCTGCTGTACCAAGTTGCTGCGTCAGGTCAGCGACAATCGCCTGTTGCTTGTCGGATAGCCTCGCAATATCCTCAGCGCGCTCCAGTCGCTCGCTCTCCAGGTCCTGCCGAAGGCGAGTGTTGAGAGCGGTCAAAGTCGCGTTGTCACCGAGAGCCTTCATGTGGTCGTGCCGGATGTCCCGCGCGACTTGACGGTGTTCCGCGTCGGAGAGGGCGTTCACCACTCCCTCATATCGGAGGCGCATATCGGGGTCCATAGAGCGAGTTGTAGTGAAGAGCTAGAGGTATGTCTCGTATCAGGTACACGAAGTAGCAGAGCGAAGTTGATGATGCGTACCGTTCCCTATCGCTGTAGTTATACGCCTATGCCACCGACCCGCCACTCCCTTTGACCGTCGAAGTCCCTGAACGAGTCTTTGAGTGAGATACCGGATTTGGTACAACAACACCTCGGCCTCAGGATCAACGTGTGCCACAGCGAAGGGTAAGATGAAAGAATGAAAGGGAAACAGCAGTACAAGATAGCATTGCATCGGCATAGGCACAAAGGGACGAACAAGGACAGAAGCTAATCGTCTACGTCCTCGAAGTCAGAATCGGAACGATCTCCGCCCGACTCCTCATCGTCCTCGAAGTCATCCGATCCGGATGCGCTGGTGTCAACAAGCAGACGTGTCGGCCGACCCTTACGTGTACTGCGTCTCACGCTCGCAGTCGTGATGGTTGAAGCAGAGGTACTAGCCACGCTCTGGCTACGTGTTGACGCTGGAGTACGCACAGTCAGATACATATTGCTTAGAGTACAATGGTATACGACTACTAACCTGGCGGCTTCTTCCTCCTCTTCGGCTCCGTGACAGTATTAGTTTTCTTGCTCTCACTGTCGTTCCTGGAGTAGTCGCCGGCTAGGTGACGGTCCCAGATCTCCTCGTAGAGCGCTTCATTGACAGAGACAGGTTCCGCAACGAGAACGTTCAGCGTCTTGATAGCATGAGGTCAGCGTCGCGGTACAGATAGTCGATAGAAAGATGAAACACACCGCCCATCCGCGATCAAAGGCGTCCAACACTTGATCCTTCGTCGGGAGCATTGATTTCGGCTTGTTGGCGTCAATGTACTTCTCGAACGCGCGATCAACATCCTCAGCATCGACGGGGCGCTTCTTCTTGGCTGCAAGGGAGATTCGTAGGGATAGGCGTTGATACGCTTCGAATCGCGAGTTCTTGGTCAGCAGCTTCGTCCATTCGTTGCGAGTCTACAGGATACGGATGTTAGTCGTAGTCCATATTAGACCTAAGGAGAGAAAGTGCATACAAGGGTAGGCATGTCGGCCCATTCCTTCGGAGTAACGGGCTGCTCATGTTGTCGGAGAACAACTTGACCGACGAAGAACCACGTTGACTTTAGCGACGCTACGATAAGGTATAGGGGAACACCGAGTTCGACGTCCGGGCGACTGCAGATGAGTGTTCCTGGTCGACCTGGGTAGGTAGGCAGGCCAGGGTTCATGTCGAGTCGTGCGAACAGCGCCGGGTACCTGTCCATCACGTCCATATCTTCAGCGAGAGGGATGCGTTCCAGCTTGTTGTTCATCTTCATCGGCCACGCGGAGTACCTCTTCTCGAGGAGCTCGCGCTTCACCCATCCTACAGTAGGATTGGTGGCTGAGGGAAGCTTGGTGGACGGTATCTGCGTGAGTTTGATTGCCGCTATGTTCGCCACACGCTCGTTGAGAGACAGCGGTACGGCGTTCAGTAGTTTCCTCGTAGAACCGAAGTCGAAGGATGCGACGGCTGGTCACGTCGATGAGAATCAGGAGCGACGAATATGAAGTTGCAGACCTATGTACTTGAACCGGGCGGTTTCTTAGCGCGCTTCGCCGAGTTGGGTGGCTCGGCGTCTTCGATGTCCGCTGCAGAGCGCTTGACGTTCTTTGCGCGCTAAGCTAGCAATCAGTTGTGCATACATCATTGCAAGCGAGCCGCACTGCGAACATTTCCTGTCGTAGATGGTCCTGGGCCAGGAGACGCATTGGACGACACTATGGGTGTAAGCGAAGCCCTGGGCTCGCTCTTGATAACTACCGCTGTGCCGAGAGTCAGAAGGAAGTCAACGCGTGCGACGGCAAGAGAAGTACCTGAAGAAGGCGTCGTTGTTTTAGCACGAAGCGGCGAGATGAGGGCCATGGTCTCATCATCGCTGTCCATCGATAAGTCAATTACGTCGGCTTGGGGAGGTGGAGCTGAAGGTTGGCTGGTGGGGGTGGTACTTGAGGGTTCCTATGAGTCCGTTTGAACGTTCTTCTCTGTTTGGGTGTATAAAATTCAACACACCTGCATAGGGGCCAGAAGATTGGGGTCGATATCGTCGTCAATAAGCCCGGGCTCGGGATCAGGAGGCAGCGAAGACCTCGTCGCCATAAAGTCGTCGGGAGGCGGTGGTAGCAACGATGAACTAGCATTCGTTTCTCTGGCTGCTAAGCCCTGGGGTGCAGCCTCCCGCTCAGGTATAGCCTTGTCCCTCTCGGCCCATGCCTTATCCCTCTCCGCTACCAGACGACGCTTACACTCTTCGGCAGCCAGTCTCTCGTGCTCAAGCTTTTGTGTCGCCTCCCGCGCACTCGCCTCGGCCTGTGCTAGTCGGGTCGCCATCTCGTGTTCCCTGTTTTCCGCGTCGACCTTCATCCTCTCCCTTTCGCCGTCCAAAGCCGCCTTCGCGTTTGAGTTCATATGCTTCACGGCATTCTCCTTCTCCTCGCACGCCTCGCGCAGCTTCGCCTCCAGCGTTGCAATTTCTGCTTGCATTGTGACGACGCGTTTGTCATCGCCATGTGCGCCTCCCGTGTCGGCATGAGAATGATGTAGCTCGGCGCGCACTGTGAGATAATCCTGCTGGAGGCGCGCAAGCCTTTTCGTAGCCGAGTCGCACTCAGCAAGAGCGTTGTCGCGTTCCCTGCGCAAATCCATCATGGCCAGTCGGAACTGGCGCGGAACCGATGCCCAGTCGGCATCGGTGAGCTCGCCTGGCGTCGACGTGGACATGGAGAGACCAGTTCGCGAATTCAAGTATATTCAAGTACAGTAGACAAGTGTATACATTCCAGTGAGATAATCCGTCGCACAGTTTTGCTCGAAGCAGGAAGCGAGGAAGGAGAGACAGTCTGCTTTCTCGCTAGATGATGGCCGTCTTCCGAAAGTGGCGTTGGAGTCCGGACGCGCATGTGCGTTGCGCACACGCTTCCACCTTTCGCCTCCCACCGCGAGGTCTGCATTATACACTAACTCATGTGCATAGGTTTTGGCGGAATAGAGGGGTACAGCATTCATAACGAGACGTAGGTAGTGAGACATGCAGTTCCGGGAGTTATACAACATATATCGTACACCACAAGAGGCAATTATTACATTTGAGTAAAAGAAACTTGATTGCGCCGCTACTGCAGAATCTCTTCGCCCTACCGAGTCCCTTACTCGTATACCCATCCGTCCGGCACATCGTCCTTCTTGAGGTAAGAGCCCTTGTTCACGCTGAAGATGTACCACAGTCTATTCTGTTCGTTATCCCCGGGGATACATAGCCATTTCTCCTTGGCAGTAATGACAGGTCCTTGCCAGTCGATGATGAGGCGCCGATTAGAACCTTGTGAAGCCAGCCCAACATCGTATGGAGAAAGGTGACCTACATATGCGAGAATGCTGACTGTCAGCCCTTGCGTAGATTCCTGGGTCCGTTCGTTGCTTACCTCCTAACGCGATTGCTGGTACCCAATCCATGTCGGTGGAGAGGAACAGACGGTTCCGGGGAAGATTCACTACCTGCTCTGCTAGACTCTTCCTGTAACATATATGAGTAAAGCATGATTCCATCCTTCGCACCGATTGAATTGACTGACAGGCTGTTGTCGAACTGCCAGAGGTCACGACTCTCATCCGCGATATCCGATTTCGATGCGTCCGGTGCTTCGTTGACAACATAATGTATGTCGGTCGGGTCCATGAGCCACATGATGAGGATCTAGTGATCGCGTATTAGCCTCTCCGATACCATGACCAAGGTATGGTCCTCACCCAGGATACAACACCGTCGTCATGTCGAGGGCGTGCGAACTTCACAAAATCGCCGCTATCAGGAAATGGGTTCGCGGTGCTCCAGTTGCAGAGGACACCGATGCCTCCATCCAGAGCAGACCCCGAGGGAGCTGCGCCATCACTCTTCAAGACGACTCTAGCTCAAGCACGTTCATCTCGCGCTCGCAGGAGCTGATCGACCTGTACTCACATGTCCCCGGTCTCATATACCGTGCCATCATACTGAAGCTGCGGCAGGGTGATATCACTACATGCCTTATCACTGATGATGTGTAGAGAGATGGAAGAAGGGGGCGCACCAGACTTTGTCCCAGATGGACCGCGTGTTCGCCGCTACGAACCGCCGGATGTTGAGCTTCGGCTTTGGACCGTCGAGGACTCTCACATCTGGCTCGTCGGTGCTCCGCTCGCGTGCTGAAAGCAGAAGTAAGTGAGGAAGAAGACCGTATTGTATATCTGGCTTACGAACCTGCATCGGAGAACATCGATCTTGGGCGCTTGGCCAGCGAACGATGGACCATCGTGTCTTCCCAGCCGACGATGTCCGCCAATGGGCGCTTATCACATCGTCTGACACTCTATGATTGCGGTCAGCTTGAAAGTACAAGGCACATGCAGATGAGACTGCGTACGCTAGGACCCGGTGTGGCATTGAACGAGACCCGTCTCGCCGGACGAGGCAGCGAACGGCTCATGTCAAGTGGCACTTCGGGCCGTTTACCCTTGTCGGTTCCTATAGCCCGTCAGCGATGGAGAGATACTGGGAGTTCAAGCACAGACTGGTGACATCAGGCTGGCGATTGTCTTGCCCTTCACCGTGCGACAAGTCGACACTACCAAGACGTTCGACAGTGGAATCGAAGTCAGGGTCGAAGTCGTGGGAGAGGGTGCTGCCAGACGAAGGACTCGGCTAGTAGGTAGCCCATCAGAGTGCAGTTCATATCTGATACTTGGGTGAGATGGAGTAGCGCACTTGCGAAGCAGGCGTCGGTAGTGAGAAAGTTTCGATGTTGAGAACGCCGCTAGTCGTGGGCAGGTCGCCGCCAGCGTCATCATTGCGGCGCGCGTCATCAATAGGCGCCGCGGGCGCTCGCCGATGCTCCCGGCGTTCATCCTCCAAGTCCTGGAGTGCCTGCGTGTATACTGCCTGTAGATTCATCTTGGATTCGATGAGCATCGATCTCTCTTCCGCGAGCTCTACTTGAGTTCTACCTTGTCGGCCTCGAGCTTAACAATCTTGCGGCGCAGGTCGCGAACAAACTCGCGATGTCCTTGATCGGATAGCTGCGCTATAACAGCCTCAAACCGGATGGCGTCAGCGTTCATGGTGATTTTGAGGAGCCGATAGATTCTCAACGATGATGGGTGAAAGACGAGGAAGGGTTCGCCCCGCTCACCGGAATATATACTTGTGCGCGAGGCCAACCTAGCCGCGATCAAAGAGCGCATGCATTGCCAGGCGGGCGTAGTGCTTGATAGCACCAATCATGTAGAGCCTGTATGTCATGTGTCACACATGAGTCAAGAGTAACACAGAGTTCTCCCTGGGCGCAAAGCCGAGAGGCGAAGAAGGCGTCGGAACCGGGAGAGATATTTGACATAATTTGAGGCGTTTGGCTCCCACGCTGAGCTAGCGAGATCGTGCCCAAACATACTGTTGTCGTACTTCAGTAATGATTCAAGAGCGAATTGGACTCGTGGCACAGTCTCACCGCTATTACTGTGGAGAAACTCCGCGCATGCGGGTGCCAACCAAGATCCTCAATCGGTATCCGAGATGTGTCGACGCGCGAGAGTGCCTACGACCATCAGCGCACTGTGGTAAGCACAGAATATAATATCGAGTAGTATCCGAGGTTGTTTGAAGGCTGCTGGTGTGGCGGGTGTAGAACGAGTATGCGCTCGACGCAGGATGAGCCCACAATACAGAGGAAGTCGGGACTCGGAACCGTTCCTGCACGAGGCGCCCCAGAACGCAGCAAGCCCACTAGGGGATGAGTTTGGCCTCGTTGAGCACTGAACGCTACAGCTGCATCGGATTATAAGCGAAGAAACGATTGATACACCATGGTGGTTGCTGGTGACTTGCTCGTCGGCGCGTCAGCGGAAGTTGAGCGGAAGCGCGACGCCATAATGATCGGCCTTCGCCGCCACTTAGAGGTCCATGTGGGTGCCTGCTTACGCAAGAACCACGCGACGATGAAACATGCCGGGGTAGATGGCCAGTGCTCATGTTCAGAAAGTATCTCAAGATGGGTGTACAATATGGGTACAAGAACATACATGGGCGCATGAGGGTCCTACTCATCAACCGAACCATCCGGAAGGTCACCCTGTTTCAGACCAGAGCTCTCTAACTTACTCCATGTATGCAAGAGCCTACGACCTTCGGGTTCTTCGCGGCATTCCTCTTCGCAAGTTATGACAGGGCTTCGCCAGTCTATGGTGAACTTCCGTCTCAACACTGAGTTGGACAAACGGATATCGTGCGGGTTGAGGTGTCCTGAAATCGAGTGGTCAGTGTCTATACATTGTCGAAGGTTTCAAAAGCCTGAACGTACCGCAGAGCCGGTCCAGGGGAATCCAGTCGACTTTCTTGGACAATAGATGTGTTCCAATCGTCGCAGACACTATTCCCATGTTTAGGAAGCTCAACCTAGACCATGCCATCAATGAGTAAAACAATCGTTCATGTGAAGGACCTAAAGGTACGTACAGTTCATCGTCGAAGAAATGACGTTCACGCGTTGTATGAACATCCTGCTTGGGGTGCAAGAACCTCACAGCATTCTCTGCTAAATCGGCTACAGGTAAGAGCCACGCGATGGCGATCTTAGAGCGTAGTATCAGCAAGCAACATGATGAACGAAGACAATGGCATTACAAATTCCGGACCGCCCTCGGGTTTTGAAGGATGAATGATCTTGTCGAATTTGACCGGGTTGTTGGGATACGGGTTGATCGTGCTCGAGTTGCACAGTATGCCCATGCACATGTCGGGGAGGAGGAGTCGGGTCGCGCCTCCCCTGCGTGTTGAACCGTGCGAGCATATGTGGCAATGGTTTTTGATGAGTACACTGACGATGGCAGAAGTGAATTCGGTTGTTCAACAAAGACGTACAAGATCCTGGCACTTACATATCTCCCATTTCATAAATGACGCCTTCCTGTGTGATATTCGGAGCCGTGAGGTCGCTGAGAAGTACTACCGTTAGTCAGGAAACCGATGCAAGGAAAACGGACGTACCACGCCTTATCCCAGATGGATTCCGCATGACGCGCGACAAACTTACGCACAGATAACTTTCCATGCGCGTCCTCTGCAGCTCCATGCAGGAGATCTACGTTTATGACCGTCAGCGTTATATACACTCATACGATCGTTGCACAAACCATGTTCATTCACGACCGATCTCGAGCGCTTGATCGTGGGCGCATCTTCGTCGTTGTCGGAATCCGCCGGACGCTTGGCTCCACCGCGCGCACTCTGTAACATACAATCAACATCGTAAGAACAACAGAACAGAGAGCTGCTTACGCCTGCCTGCGTCGCTGGTCCGGGACCAGGCGTGGCATTTCGCAGTTCCGCGCGTCCTGCACCGAACACCCCGAGTTGTCGACCTTGATCGGAAGGCGCGCCTGAGTTTCGTTAGCAATAGGTAACCTCGACCATGAATAGATATACACACTCGGTGGAGTATGCATCGGGGTGTCCTCATCGTCGCCAAGTGACAGATCCACGACGCCCATATCATCAACACCTATGTTGGGTTTACGGTCAGGGTCATTCTTGACGACGCGTTCGGCAGCCTCGCGCTGTATGTGATGTGAGCTTCAGATCGCAACATCACTGAACAGAAGATCGCACCTGTATGGCACGCGTATTCACAGCCGTTAGAGGCTTGACGTCTTCATCCATCCTATCACGCTCGCCGTGGTGTTGCCCATAGTCGCGAGCTTCATCCTTGACAGCAACCTCGTCGCGTATACCCGTCGCACCACCCTGACCCGCAGGCACTTGCTGGCGACCATGACGCTCGTCCTCAGGATTGTGGCGGTGATCAGCGTTCGCGGCCTCTAAATCCGCAATGCGCTGCCGCAGCGTAGCGATGGTGTCGTTCGCTATCTGCAGCTCTCGCTGGGACTGGCGCAAAGTACAAACGTATTCGCGGTGGCGGCGCTCATCCAGCGCAACCAGAACCTCCTCGTGCAGGGCGTCCAAGTCCATGTTGCACGCGAGGTGAGAGGGAAGCGGAAACGGGGCACGGCGTACTTCCGAGGGCGCAGGCTTATATATCGGCGCTACCACATACATCGACTCCAACGGCGATCAAGAACTTCACTTCAAATTGTCGGAGGTAAGCCTTGGCAGCTACCGTATGCCCTCCCACGGCCTGGTGCGAATATGTGCGGTGCACTTATACTGTTGCGCTGAAGCTGGCGGCTGGAGAGCTACATATTCGTGTATGTATGTCGAGACGACGTCGACACCGGGCGTGAACAGAACTCCCAGAGCCGTTGGGTGTCTAGTCTGCAAGTTCACCGACCCAATAGGATAGTCGTTGCGCAGTCAGACTTTGATTCTTCGCTTATGGGCGTCCGATGCAGTCCGATGCACTGTCGGGCCGCGCTTAGACTGATGCGCGGAAGCGTCGTGTAAAGAGTGGATATCATAGTCCGAGTCTTATTATCAGTGGCAAGTGACACAGCTCAAGTAACGAGTAGAGCAATGATCGCCAGCCGGAGCACACATATCGTAGGACATGGACATCGGTGATGGTCGTTTTCCGCAAGTGGTGCGGCCAAGGTGCGGCGCCGTTTGTAGTCATGGGGGTTCGTGTGGGTCCGCATGTACATCAGCCTGCCTTTCGCTCCTTCCAGCCGAGCCCACGATCGCTATGTGCGGGATGAGATATAGGCGTCATGTATTGCATTTGAAACGAGCGACCTCTGCGTGACAAGCGCAAGAACCTCTTCATCACTATCCATATCCACATCCTCCCCCCACCCCCGCCCAAGCCTCGTCAACTCCTCCCTCAACCTCCTCACCTCCCCCTCCTTCTCATCCCCCTCCACACGCGCCCGATCCCTCTCCTCCCTCATCTCCCTCCACGCCTCTCCATTCCCCTCCAACATCATCTCGAGGTTCCTGATCCTCAGGCCCATATATCGTTTATACCGCACGTCTGTCCCTATCCTATCGGCCGCCCTCTTCAGATCGCAGCGCATATCTTCGTTCTCCCTCTCCAGCTCCTCGTTCTCCTTCTTGAGCTCGACGTTGTCGCTTTCCAACGCCCTCATCCTCTTCTCCATGGCTCTGGTATCGTCTCGCGTGGCCCGTGCATCATCTCTCAACGACGCGACCTGAACGCGCAAACGCGCAGCTTCTTGGCGATGCGCGCCGAGCGCCAAATCGCGCGCGCAGACCGTCTCGTAGTCCTCCCCCAGCCGCGCGAGCTCTGCGAGCGCATTATCCCGCTCCCGACGCGCATCGAGCATCTCGAGCCAGAACCGGCGAGGGAGCTCGGTCCATTCCGCTTCGGTTGATGAGGTAGGCATGGACGTCGTGTACGGGTGTACGGCGGAGACAGTTGGTATATCAATTAGATGAGCATAGGATAAGAGATTCGAGCCGAGGACCTAGTCGAAGATGGTGGCTGCTCGCAAGTCGCAAGCCGCCCGAGATGCGCCCGAGCGTTCGACTACGCGAAGGTCCATGTAGGTCCCCATGTACATCAACCCGCCTCTCGCTCCTTCCGCTCGAGCTTCCGACCGCTCGCACCTACACTCCCCTCACCACTAACCCACCCATCCCGTCCCACCACACCACAAGTACGCATCACACAACCCAATACAAAAGTACCAGAACAAACCCCCGCCCACAACTCTCCGCTCACAGAGCATCCTCGAGCCTCGGACGGGGCGCTGGTCGTTGATAACATCGCGGGGGGTCATAAACAGGCTAGAGGTACATCTTGTACAAGGGGTCGAATCAGTCGGGGTCGGAGCAGGTGGGGTGATCTTGGAGGAGAGAGGAGGAGGGGAGGGAGTTTACATGGACGCATGCGTGGTGGTATCGGTATCAAAAGGGGTCGTATATGAAACAAGATGGTACGTAGATGGTGAAGGGAGTATATAAACACAGTTCAGATTTGATGAGCACGGGACGGGTAGATGGAGCGGGGAGGTGCAGAGGGAGGCGGCATACGGCATAGGCCTAGTAGAGGGTTGTTGGTAGTACATGTTGAGCATTGGTTGGACATTGGACGTTGAGCATTGGCTGACGAGTACGAAGACGGATGAGGCAGAGATGAGACGAGAAGAGCAGGAGCAGTAAGTGATGTGTAGGTATATCGATTCGATGGGATCAGAAGCAGGCGAGATGTTAGCAGCGGAGGAGCGACTCAGGCGAGAGAGGCGAGTATGACGCAAGGCAGGGCAGGGCAGAACGTGACGAGGCGCGATGAGAGGAGGAAAGGAGACCGTCTAGATCTTACGCGTCCGCATCTCATACATCCCCTCCCGTCCCTTACTCAGCCCCAAAAATATACACTCCCGCATCAAAAAGTCGACCTTCCGCACGCCCCCCTGCCTCGCCGTCGGGTCGATCGTGCACCTGCCCCCACCTCCAAGTCAGCCCTCACGCTCTCCACTCAAAATAATACGAGGTGGGGAATGAGACGCACCGGATCGCATACGCCCGATCAATCTTGGCCCTCTCCTCATCCTCAACCTCACTATTCCAATAATCGCTCTCCCTAACCTGGCGACTCATCACCTCCCAAATCCCCTCAAACACCTCTCTCAGCGTCACGCCCACCGGGTCCTGCGCCACAACATCAACATACCACGGCAGCCGCGGGTGATACAGCCTCATGAGCGGTAACGGCGGTTCCGTCGCGAAGCCCGCGAGGTCGTACGGGGTCGGCGGACGATTATGTAAGGACGAGAAGGAGAAGTGCGTTTGGTGCGGCGTGGGGAGCGGAGGGTGGCGCATGTCGTAGTGGACGGGCGCGGTGGAGAAGGGGGTGTAGCGGAGCTTGGGGGAGAGCTCGGAGGGGTGGCGTTCTTGGATCGCTGTGGGCCGTTTGTCAGTTACGCGCACGAAAGCGGGAACGAGGAGCGAGAGCGTAGGTGATGCGGACTCGGACTTGACGCCGCACCGGACGAAGCGGAGACGAGTACGAGTACGCGCGCGACGGAGCTATCGGCCGAAGCCATCCGCCTTCCATGCATATCGCTCGACGTGCGCCCCGCCGGCGGGGCCACAACCGAACGCGGTATAGCCGTTGCCACAACGCCCTCCCAAAGCACACGACCTTCCACATCGGGCGTGTCTCGGAACGCGAAAAGTCCAACACGGAACCAAAAGCCGCGTCGGGCGCTTAGATTCTGCAGCACCCTCTACCCAGTCCATCCATCTGTGCATTCCAACAACGTTCCGAGTACAGGTGTACATGTATGAAATTTGTCGGAATGAACAACGTGCGGAGACATGATATGGTGGAATGGGAGAGAAAGGGGAGACGAACGCACCGATAGAGAACGTCTTGCCCTTCTTCTTGAACACGGCCTCGAGCCCGCTCCGCGGCATCCTGAAATCGGGGCGCCAGCTGCCCGGCCGATCAAAGAACCTGTGCGCGCAACAATGTCAGCGCTCAGCCCTTGAGACCCGGATACAACGTGTTGGGGCCACAGCGGCGATGATGGAAAGATTTGTGCGGTGAGACGCGCGCGTGCTGGCAAGAGCGTAGCATAGTGCAGCGCGAAATAGACAGTTGCAAGACTCTTGGTAGGAGACTGGGGTGGTAGAGGAAGGAAGAGACGCACCGTCTATGAGCGACGTCCTTGAAATCGCCCGGACTCCTAATAATAGTATCGAGCTTCTTCTGCGTCTTGCCGCTCCTGCTGCTCCCCTGGTACGGCGGCGGCGGCGCAAGCGCCGGCGGACCGAGCTGAGCAGCCGGCGGATAACTCGTCGGAAAATAGCTCTGCTGCAATCCATGTCCGAGTCCGTGGTCATTGCTCGGCGGCGGCGTCGGGTAGGAGCTCATGCTATGGTGTTGCTGGTGATGGTGCCCGTGTCCGTGTCTATGCTCGTGCGTGTTGTGTCCGTAGGGATTGGGGTTGGGGTTGGGCGAGGGTGTGCCGGGGTACGGGACGGGCGTGGCGAGTAAAGCCGGTTGTGCGCCCTGACCGGGGCCAGGAGACGGCACGAATCCGCTGTGGCCGGACGAGTAGGACGCGCTGCCGGGGCTCCACATCATAGCCTGCTCGTCCCACTGCCCGCTCGTCCACCCCTCCTGCTGCTGTTGCGGCTGCTGTACACTCGTCCATCCCCCCATCCCCATCCCCATCGCTCCCACACCGGCATTATCCTGCACACTCGGCCACGGCCCGCCCATCCCCCTCGTCCTATCGTGCTGCTCGACCGGCGGCGGCGGCGGCGGCGGGTACGGCCCGGCCTGCGGCATCGCGAAGCTCGCGTACATCGGCTGGGGCGCCGGCGCGGCGCTAATACTGTCGTCCGGCGCGAGATGCGGGCTCTGGAACGCGAAGGGCGTGCCGCCCGCCCGGCCCGCCGCGACGTACGGGCTCGGGCCCGACGACTCTGTCCATGCGGGCGTGCTGGGCGGCTCCTCCGACGCCGCGCGGCGCTTGTGTTTCCTGTGCGAGCGCCGCGCGTGCGAGTGCGTGAGCGCGGGCCGCACGGGGTCCTGCGCGAAGGATGATTCGGGTGGAGGGGGCTGGGAGATGTAGGCTGCGCCGTGGACTATGGGCGGCGGGCGGTCGTCGAGGGAGGTCATCGGGTGTCTGACTGCTGGTGGGCGTAGATTGAGAAAAAAGGCGGATAGAAAGTAATATGTAAAGAGGCGCGAAGGGCGGGTGCCGCCCCCGTGCTGGGAATGTGAAGGTGAGAAGCAAGAGAAAAGCAGGGAAAGGTTCGCAACGTGCGCCTTGATCGTGATCATATACGTCTTTGGACCTGTAGCCCGCGTCCTTCCATCCGTTCCATCGATGCGTGCGAGTCACGATAGCCCGCCCTGTTCATCTAGACGTCATCTAACGGCGTGTTCTGGGATCCCGCTTTGGTGATTGTCGCGAGATTGGGGAGCGTTTGGGCCGCCTCGAGGCATGGCAGGGGAATACCGCCGAACACGGGCTTGCGCTTGTGCACTGACGTGGTAATCCCGACGACTTCGGCGCTCTACACTCCCCTACACACCCGGTCAGGCGACTATACAGCGGCGACTTGACGTGGAAGGCGCGATGGGCAAAGAAGCTGTAGCTTGTAGCCGCCCGCCGGATGTGGGACGTAAACGCGGCGGGCCGTGGGGAGGGGAACGTACTCCGGAAGGCGGTCTTCTTACGATCTGCGGCGTCTCCTCGAAGCGTCGAGTACCCTCAAAGACAACCTTGCCAATGCGGCAGATGTAGCGGGCAGGTCGAAGATCGGTCTAAGCGGTTTGCAGGGAAGCAAAAAGCGCGGGCGCCACAGACACACGCGGGTCTACACCTGTATCTGCGGTTCTACAGCACCTCTCCGTCGCTTCTCGTCTACACTTGGCCACGATTGCCTATACTCATGTGCGTAAGTATGCGCTCCTCCGGTAGCAGCTCTCGTCGCTCACGACCCTGCCGCTCTGTTGCACCCCATACCTTCTACCATAGGCTCATCTGACGTTCTCTCCGTGCGCGGCAGTGCGCGGCCTATGTCCCGCTTGAGCACCTTCAACGTTCAGCGCCAGTCTTATCTGAGAAAGTAGAAGCGGCTAGGGCTGCTGGGAAGCATGCGGTGCTAGTGCCACAGAACACGCGGACCCACCTTCGCATCTAACTCCCACCTCCCGTTCAAACGTCCCCGCCAAAGCCGCACTCTCGCTTCCCTCGGACCTGTGTCTCCTGATAACTGCCATAGGGCCGCACGCGGCAAGACCCGCTACGGCTTGCAAGCTCGAAGCAGTACATATGAGATGAACGGCGTACTTCCACAGTCAGAATCCGTACATCTCGCGATGGGGATGCCTTGCAAAATCATTCAGCTTATTCTGAATCGACGGTAGGCCGGTCAACGACGGGCGTCTATTCTCTCTTCTGCGTACGCCATGGAGCCTTCGGCTTGAGGGCTTAAGGGCTTAAGGGCTTGATGATCTGGGTTGTATACGGACGTCGTACTACTGTACTTAGCGGCGTTTTGGCGTGGTTCGGCTGGTTCATCCAAGGCTCCCGACGACGCGGCATCTTTCCTCGCGCGTCGCGGAAATATGGGCGTTCCCACTTTGGGCCCCGACCACCACCACCACCACCAATATATCTTTTCTTCTCACCTGAGTACACGAGGAAGGATCTCGACGATTAAGACTCCGCGAAGACCTCGCATCCTTTCAGACAAGCCGGCACGTTGCCGGCTTCGCCGATCGTCTTCTGTCTGCAGAGAGCCTGCTCCTTCGCGCGCAATCGCAGGTCGACTCCCGGAGTCGATAGCACTCATCGTGCGGCGGATCCCCACACTTTTTGTACTTCAACTCAAATCCCCAGTACTACAACCAACGGGGCATCATATATCGCGATTCGAGGTCGCAGCGGGGAGCCCGAAGGGCCATCGCATAGCATTGAAAGAAGCGCACCCGACTCGTTTTTGGTGACATCGATCGTGTCAGATCGGTTTGCCGAATTATAGTTGCAGGTCGAGTCCACGGCTCGGCGCCAGCATCTAGCAAGTGCCAGGCTCCCGCTGCAGCGTTTTGCGGCCTCGGGAGGGCGTGTTAGTGAATAACGCCCAATGCTATACTTACTCATTGATCCCACTTACTTTACTCGCAGGGCGTGCATAAAGCTCGGTGCTCTAGCCTCTGCCCGCGCACGTCGATCCAGCTTCTTTATTTCCTTCGCTCTCTTCGTCTAATCCTCTTTCTTTGAGTTGATCGTCTTCCTTCTCAGCTCTACACTCCCCACCTCTCCCGCTCCCTCAGACCGACTCCCTCCACAGCCCGCCGCCTCATCATGCACCATAGCACCCATACAAGTAGTGTACTCTTTCTGTCACAGACAGCAAGCTCGTAAGCTGTTACTCGACCGTACAATTAGACGTCCGTACTACTAGCTATCAATCGCAGTGCTTACCCTGTCAAGGTCGTTCGCGAATTGGCAGCCCTCCGACAAACAGTTGCCCAGCGATCCTGTTGAATTCAATACAGCGCGATAGTACATGCAGACAGCGGGAGCTATTTGTAGTAGTGGGTCGCAAACAAGACCGAGTTTCAACTTCGCTTTATTTCAACCCTAACCCCAGAAGCCGCCGGAGCTCCCGACGGCCTTACGGCATCAGGCACAATTTACAGGGGCTCCAAAACGCCAGCCATTTCAGATGTTGAGTTCGTGCCACCAAGACCCACTACTAGCGTAGCAAGAATACATCTACGCGAATGCCCTGCGTATGTTCAGCTCATTACGATGGGCATATACTTCGACCGTTCGCTTTCCGCCGTACCGTCAAGGGGTACCCTAGCTCGGCGAGTCCGACAGACGCCCGCCCGTATACCAACTCGGCGGCGGTTCCCGTCGCCCTTCCTTGTCCTCTCACGTCACCCTCGAACTCGCACCATGAGAACAGAGCGCTCTGAAAGCGTACTGGCATCCTGGCCCACAAAGACCCCTTCAAACCTCTTGCAAACCCCAAAGGGCTTCTCAGATCAGTGGCATCCTCAACTCGTATAACTACCGTCGACATGCAAGCGTGCCCTCCTCCTCAGACCCCACCCTTTCCTACCTCGCTCAAGCACTCATGGATCCAAACACGCACGCCCAATACGAAAGCCTACTCTCCTCGCTCCCCAACGCGCAACGCCGCCAAACGGCACGCGACCTCCGGCTCGACCACATACAAGCTCTCGGGTCCAACATCATGCTAACAGCCCTCAACGCGCGTCTTCAGCAAGATCTGGAGACCGAGCGGCGCGAGCACGCTGAGGAGGTTGGGCGGGTATCGAGCGAGCGCGATGATGTGGTGCTGCGGTTGGATGAGGCGCGTCGGGATAAGCTTGAGCTCGAGGCGAAGGTGAAGGAGCTCAACGATCACGTGAAGAAAGTCGAACGGGAGAAAGAGGCAGTTGAGAATGTGTACAAGAGGATGAAGGCCCAGGTGCGTCTTGCGCTGTACTCCAGCTCAAGTGATATGCTCATTGTTAAGCCATGCGTTTGAAGATGGCAGTGGCGGCAGCCGCTCTGGAAAGGATGAACCGTCGAGCCCAGGCGCGTTTTGATGACTTTGAGTTACGGCAGAAGAGGCGCGAAGCGGAGACGAAGGAACGCGGTGCTGCTCGAGAGAAGGAGGTACAGCGAGAGGCGCCGCATACCGACAGAAGCAGCGAGACTGGCAGCGAGACGGCCGACGAGACGGCGTCTACTCATACTGCTGTCTGATCGGCGCGCGATTTGGGAACTGTCAAGACCTCGAGCGAGACGCTGGGACGGCAGGCTCAGATGAGCACGCCGCGCTACCACTTGCAGAACTCCACCATCCCTACCTGGTGCCCCTCAGTACTCTACCTTCATCTAATCGTTTCAATCCCATTGCTATGAATCTAAATGCGACGCGTTCTACGCACAATTTCACCCACTTGTGCTTGGACGTATAACGCCTCTTGAGGGCTACTGTACGAGAAGAAAAATAAACGGACGAAAGAGAGGAAAGAGGAAGAAGATGTATTGAAGTATGCAGTCGTGTAGTTGGTCGGGAGAGCGAAGTTCGAACAGGTTCGAACGCGCGACGCGCGGCTACATACAAACGTAACCCTAACGTAGGGTTAGTCGCCGAATGGCCGACATTGCCGCGACAAGGGGGATCCTCGCTAGCTGAAAAAAAGTGTCGATCTTAGTATGTCGACAGGAAGTGTCTCTTGATGGTGAGGAAATACTGCAAGTGTGCTTAGTTTACATCATACGCGAGTGACGATACATTAGATTCACCATAATCATCAAGGCTAAGCACATCTTCTTGACTAGGATTGGAACGCCGCCGCCGTACCTTGATGAACTTCCGAACCTGTCCCTTGACAAGCTCCACCAGACGTTTGAACGTGAACGCGTCCGTCGTCTTGTTGTTATCGAGACGGACTTGCGCTTCCCATTCAGGATACCCGGGCCACTGTGCAATGGTCGTCAGATAGTGCGATGCGGTTCTTGATAAAGCACTCGCCCTGATCCTGAAAAACAGTGACGTCCTTCTCGTCCCATTGGGTCGCGTGAATGGTACGTTCTCGTTCTGTAAAGACTGTACATCCTCCTGTCCCACAGGTGTACCAAGCCCGTTGCTGGTCACAATCCAAAGGGGAATGGGGCCGAGATCAAGGCCGAGGTAGCCGCTAAGAGTAAGGCTAGGCGCATGACCAGCATACCGAACGTAGACGCCAAGCGGTACAATCAGAGACGTGTTGTTGGTCTCTACGTCTATTCTGTGCACGCGTTGCCCATTGGTCGCTTGGCACGTATGCGTATTTGCGTGCCAAGCATTCTGCTCTGCGCGGAATGTGATGGCGTCTCGCATGAGGGACGGAGTTCTACAATCTCCTTTGCCGTAGCGGGAATGAGTAAAACTCAGAAAGCCAGGCGAAGTCGGATCGCCACCCTGAGCAATGGCGATCGAAGTCATGATCCGACACATCTCCTGTTGGAGTTTGTACAATATCCAACCCAGATGCACCGGCTCAGCGCTCATGCACATGTAGCAGTCCGCTCGCAGGAGTTTGACCGCGACAAATCAACTTCTGTGACAGAGCGTACATATATTCCGACAGCACTCTTCCCCCAAAGCCCAATTAGAAAGCATGGCACATTACAATACATGATAGCGGAGACGGATGGATAGCAGGATAACAAGGGGTAGTCGTTAAAGGCGTCGGTGAACGGTCGTAGAGAGCGTGCGATCTGGTCACGGTTCAGACATCGGATGTGTGAACTTGATGCTCTCCGTGCGGGAGAACTTCCGCGTTGGGTGCATTTCGAGGTCATCGTCATCATGTGGGTGTACCTGAGACGACGAGGTTGGCGTCAGCAAGCATACCTGTCGCACAGGAAGCGTACTCGCCAAAAGAGAGAAAACAGCGAACGTCGTCCATCCCAGGCTCAAACTCAATAATCAGAACCTGCACCACCCATACTCTCCGCCATCAACCCATGACCTCCCTGCCTACCGAGCCTGTCCCTCCCCCTCCTCACCGAGCTATTACTCGGCCGGACCACATACCCATTCATAACCTCCCTGACCCTACTCTCGAAAAGACCCCTGCTGACCCACGCATGCGTGGTATCCCCGCCACACACATATTCCACAACGGCTGGGGGCTTCAACGCGTCCCAGCGATGCGCAGAGAGCATATGCGCCCACACTTCGCGCGGCGTCATATAGAGCGAGCACGTATCGCGTCTCTCGCTCGGATCGGCCATACACACCGGCCACTCGTCCTCTCCTCCCAAAAAGACGCTCTCTATCCTCTCCCGCTTCACGGCCACCTCCGCAGGACCCAGATCGACCTTCTCATCAATCACATCCCACACTCTCCTCTCGAACTCCTTCCGCTTTGGCGCGTTATTACATATGAACTCCCGCGCGCCGGGCTTGGTGAGTGCGCTCCACCCGTGCGCGCGCGTCATGTGCGCCCAGACTGTACCAGCGCCGGGCGGTAACCGTGCGCACTCGGGCAGCCTATCCCGCGCATCGGCCATGCACACTGGCGGTCCATCGTCCACGACGGCTAGATCGCCAGGTCTGTACGAGTCTCCCGACGTCATATACGCAGGCGTCGGATGCGCCGCGACCGCCGGTCTCCACGAATCACCCTGCGCCTTCCTCCTCCTGCCCTCCTCGCTCAGATCAACTCGTCCATCCACAACGTCCCACACCGTCTTCTCCAACTCTTCCCGCCCGACAACCATCCCGCCCGGTCCTCCGCCCGCACAGATGTAGTCCGCCGCACTGTGTGGGCGCAGAGCGTCCCAGCCGTGTGGCACGGGATTTGCATCGACGCTCGAAGATGGTCGTAAGGAGAACTGGACGACGATTTGACGAAATTTGTACATATCATCCGCCTCGCCCGCCTCAGGAGTGCCTCCTGTCTGTAAGGGCCTTGATGGCTCTCGCTGGTCCTCCGGAACTAGCGGAGGTGATCGTGGGTCTGAATCATCGCTACTCTTTGCACTATCGGAATGCACGGAACTAGTGAATCAAGCGATGGAATGTGAGCATGCCAGACTCAGAGAACGCCCGGGATATTCCTCACGCTTCTCGTAAATCAGGGTCACTTGATCTATCATCAGTATCACGATGACCGAATGCACGAAAAGAGCGTCTGCATGGTGTGTTAGTACTAGAAATAGTGATTGTTAACGAGAGAGTATTTGGGGACAGGTATCATCACGAACCATGAGACTTGTCCATCGCTACCGTCGAGGTTTAGAATTGTGCTTTGGCACCAGGGGCATGTTAGGAGCGGTCTCCGTAGAAGTATACCCATTTCAAGTCGCATGCCCGGTCTTATGAGCTTGGACCATGCTTCTCGCTCAATGACCCGAGAATGTTCCGCGTCCGAAAGCATATAGCTACGGGTTTGAACATATCTCAAGCCTTGCTGACCGCGAAAGTTTGCAAGGAGGAAGGCGTGTATTGTCTGTGACGATGATGAGCTTCCCCATGAGTAGATTGATGTGATTAACGCGCCCACCTGCCACGATAGGAACGTGTCGCCGTCGAGAATGAAGGATCTTCCCAGTGCATCAATAAGAACGATGCTTCCGCCGGCTACCCCCAGAGGTCGAAAGATGCATTGCCAGAGAGCATACACCGAGAGCATCGCGATGGCCACAGGAACGAAGGTTGTGAGGATCTGTATGGGATCACATGTAGTGGCAAGGGCCATGTCTGCGGCATGCCTAGAATCAGATACGACTGTATGAGTTGCCCACGCATACAGAATGGTCAAAGCTTGGCCAAGTAAGGCACGATCCGCTGCGTTGGCTGACGACAGCAGTGAGCCGAGATATCGCATCGCATCGCGTAGAGAGCTAGTGTCGATATTTGGTAGGGTGAGCGTTAGCTGCAATGAGACAGATGGGGGAAATCGTTGTGTGACAGCTGCAACAGGCGTATGCATGAATATCGCGCTAAGTAGGGACCTCTACTGCACACGCACCTACAGCATCGCCCCTGTCACGCAAGGACACCAGTATCTGATCCAATCGCCCGTGGAATGAGTGATGTACTACGAACAAGTTAGTCTCGCTTGATGCGTCTTCAATGCGAACTAGCATTGACCCCACCAATACCGAGTCGATCACGAAGTTCGTTGACGCTGGACTCGAGGCTGGACTCGACCCTAACCGACGCAGACACCATGTCATCCACTATAGGTCAGGAGCGAGTCAATCATGAGTATGCCGGTCGATGAATCACCGTACGCCACTCACAGCTCAAGGACAACTTGTGCATGCCGACAACGAGCTCCGCGACAGATAAGCGCTCCTCATCAATCATGATATCTTCCAGATCTCCGATGAGATCGCGCACATCGTCCGCCTCGTTGAGGAGAGCCCGTACAAATCGGCCTACGAGACTCGTATGAGATGTTGGTGTAGAGGGGGGGGGATGTATACGTACCCAGGCGACCCTCTTTCATCATTCTCGTGGCGAGCATGAGCGCATTCAACATCTTCACTAGGGCATCGACTGCAAGAGTCCTAGCCTCGCGACCTAGCGTGGCTTGTATCCGTACGTGTAAACGGTCGATGTAGGCCTTGATCTGCTTGAAAAGCTTCAATACATCATCAAAACACGCAGTCACTCGTTCCGCTGCCTGAAGTTCGTCCCGTGAGAAACTTTGCAGCAGAGAGGAAACAATCTCATAGTGGCTCACCCTGAGCAATACCCCGATGGCGACGAATATACTCTTTCCACCTGGTACAACCTAGACGTTTTGCAGTCGCTGTCAGCTAGGTGTCTGTCGAACCCGGAGGAAGGGACACATACCGAGGACACAGCCTCCGAACCTGTGTCGAGCAACACGTTCAACCCGGATACGACCGGCTTCAACACTTCTCTGACAGTATGCATGGACACAGAGCCTTTGCGCCGCTTGCTGAACTCCTCGACCGTTGCGTGGAGTGCGTCCAGAATGCCGTCCTCAGACTCGCACTTGGCGAGCCTCCGCCCCAAAGGACTCTGCGTATCGCGAAGATCGATCTGAAAAGTATCTTTGTACTTGTCAAGAGCTTCATTCCAGACGGAGTAGATGCTGTTATCTGTCGGTACTAAAAGGGACATCTGGGTGCGGCTTGAAGACGGGATGCTCTGGGGCCATCTTCGATGTTGCGCGGATGTCGTCGGAAAGGCCATGGAGGGGAGAAGCAACGCGGAGAAATGGGAACGCGCTCAACTGGGCAGATAGCCATGCAGAAGCCATGCTGTGACACCAGGTATCCTCATAAAAGTGTACCGCCCGACAACTTGTTACACTACTGAGCCACCCACGGTCATCTCTATCACGCTCACGGGCCCTTGTCAGCGGTCGTGAAGCGCCGGGATATAAGCGCCCACATCGAGCAATGGGGTGAGGGTACGATCTGGTACGATCTATTCGGAGCCGTCCCGAGGTCACATTGAGAGCTTGAGCTCTCCACCCTGGCAGTCGGACGCGGCGCAGGTGAAGATGGACGTTGGAGACAAACAGCGGTTTGTAAAACCGATTCCGGCTGTATCGGTCCGAGCAGGGTCCTCAGGGCCGAGACCGGCCCCTTCACCGTTGCGAGAGACCCTAAGTAATCCAGAGGTTGTTACCATTAGGACGGGACTGCCGGGTTGAGAAGAGGAGCGAGAGCCAGCGTTACAGACACCCGCGTATCCACCTCAGTCTTCAGGGTTATACACCAATTTATCGTCTCAGCAGTCTCGGTCAATATCGGTGAGCGAGTAGCAGGCGATCGCTGGAAACCATCGAACTTCATCATGCCAGTGCGTATGTACATCTTATTGAGAGCTGAACAGTACCCCAAAGCATTACACTATGAGTACCAACAACGTGCGCTATCCTACAGGTATTGCACGCATGGGTACGCGTATCCATCGTCGGTGTGCACGCGCTCGTGAAACTTAGCATTCTCCAGCCGGACACTTTGTGCACTGATATAAAAGAACAAGGCCGCGCGATTAGCCACGGCCCTCATTCCCCATCCTGGGCCCCACTCCACAAGGAGGTCGCAGATCCACTTCGGACATGTCCACCTTCTTCGCTCCTCGGCCGAAAGATAGCATGGCTCGGGCTCGTGATGCCTCATCAATACGTCGGTTACTTCCCCGATACTCGTCGACCACCTACACGGGGGAAGGGCGAGCACACCCAAGAAGCCAGATGAGGTGTGGAAAGCGCGGGGCCGTACGACAGTGATCCATCTGAGCTCGGCGTTCATCCCTCTTCGCTCTTGCATGATCTCGTAGTGGTTGATAGGGCTGAGTCCGGGGAACGGTACGCCTTCAAGATGTGGAACGAGTGACCACGCGAACGTTCTGCGTCCGGGTGATCTATGGAATACTATGTATAGTTGAGTTCTCGCCGAAGGCGTGAGACGTCTTTCGATGGAATGAAAGACAAGAATTCGTTTGACCAGGTCGAGATTGTGGAGATCTTCATCGGTCGAGGCCACCCTGTGGTTCGATGCTCTCGTTGTATTCCGCGCCGAGCACGAGTCACGTCCCCACTGAACTACTTGGCCTGACCCGCGGGTGCTGGTCTCCGTGCGTGGGAGAGCTTGAAGAGTATGTTGAGACAGTGGCTGATCGCGGCGAAGGAAAACGTCGGAGCTGCAGATCGAATACATTAGTCAGCAAACACGTGTTGGCGGAGGTGGGCACTTACGTTGGACGATTCTGCAGGTCTTCGTGCGCGTCGTCCTTTGACGGCCGGTACGAACCTCCACACAAAGCGCTATTGCGAAGTGAATCAGAAAGCACACGAATGCCAGACCATTCAACACATACCACTGTACCCATGCGTCATACGGTGGCCGTAACACCTCGGTATGGCAGCGAGGACATTGAAGCAAAACCGACAGCTGACGCATGACGATGCTCATCTCAACAACCATGCCAGCTCGGACCGTTTCCTCCCAGAGGTGCGGTTCGATGATGGCCGAGCCCTCATCGGCACTCATGATCCTGTACTCGTGAGAGCGAACATAACCATTGATGGTGCTGATCACCCCGGTCTGTCCTGAGAACCTGCGTACGAGGAAAGAATGGAGATCCTATGAGCGCATCAGTATCATAGATTGTGCAGGAGAATGGGAGCATACCTGCCAAGAGCGGCACATGTCCAGCGGCACTTCAAGCGGCACCCCTAAGACATCAACAACGACGAAAGTCTCTTGACCAATTGTCGCAGGTATCCTCCGCAGGACTCCAGAGACAAAGATCTTCCAGTATACAAAGACGGCAAGGTATATGGCGGCCAGAGGGAGAAAGGCGAGCACGACGGCGTCCAATTGTATAAGACTGAGGATGACGACTTCGAACGTGTTGTCGGTGCTCCCGCCCACTACCCTTGTCGCTGAGGTCACGTATAGGTGCGCGATGACTCGCTGCAATAGAACTTGATCTTCGAAAGGGAGTTCGTTGTATGAGGAGATCAGGTCGCCAGCCAGCCGAGTGAAAGACACTATATCATGATACATCAGGGACACTCTTGCGGAAAACGCGGTGACGGAGGTAGCCGGGACTGTAGAACGGCACGGTCAGTCACGACCATGGCGGTCATACGGATAGATGCCTCACTCGTTGATGTCATGTCCAATGGTACGGGACGTGTTGCGAAAGCCGCTCTGCCGAGACCGTTAACGGTCAACGTCAAGGGGTAGAACGAATTGTGATCTAAACGATACCGACCTCGGGTCTGCTCGGATACCTGGGCAAGAATCTTGTTCGAATAAGCTGCGACAGTTTGGTGTACTGCGACTCAATCAGCAATCACCATGTGGTGCGATAGAACAAGAATTGCGTACGACCATCTATCTTAGCCTTTGTCTCCTCAATATGGCCATCGAACCTTGACGGCACAGCCAGAATGCCCGCTTCAAGACTGATGCATCAGTCAGATCTCTCATAACCCGCTTCGATGCACTCACATGTTGTAAGGCACGAGGTCACCTCGGCTAAACCAGTATGAACAAGACTGACGCCGGAAGACACGTGTGCCACAGCAGAAGATATTGTGCCGATTCCCGCAGACAATGTGTCAACCTTGGATGATACGGCCCTCATTGCCTTATCCGACCTATCCAGTTCTACGCGTCACGTATTCAATACCGACTAAGGAAGAAACAAGAGCGATACTCGCCATCACAGAACCTCTTGGAGAGGAGGCTGATAGCACTATGCACCTCAGATAAGGTCAAGCGCGTCTCTTCCTGTAGGAGCTCTTCCGTGCTCTTGGATAGATCCGCGACGTCATCGCCTTTACCCGCGAGGATAGCGAGGAATTGAACTGATCGGTACTAAGCATAGCACTAACAAACGAACAGAGTCACAAACCTAGACGATTCTGCCGCATCAACTTGGTAGCTACGGCAAAGGTGCGCAACATATCAGCAAATATTGCGACCGCCAGCGCACGAGAGGCGTGATTGAGAGGAGAGCCTGCCATGCGTACATCTAGACGCGAGACATATTGCTTGTACTTCCTCAATAGAGCGGACACAGCGTCGACGCGGGCGGGGACACCTTCGGTTGCCTGACGGTCCTGAAGTCAATCAAATGCGGGAGCCCGTGAGCGAGCACAACGCACCTTCAGCAACACCCCGATAGCCACAAAGATCGCTTTCCCTCCAGGAATTGACTGTGGCGCACATCAGTATACTAGCTCGCAGCATCCGTGACTCTACTCACCAAACTGGCTGCAGCTTCTCCGCCTATATCGAATACACCGGCACGGAGCATAGCGCGCACAATGGGGCGGAGTGATGCGCGAATCTTCGTTCCGACATGGTCACTTTGATGATGGTGTGCCTTGAGATCTTGCGCGACTCTATCGATAGCAGCCACCACAGAGCGATGACTGTGGCAATCCTGAATGCGCAGGTATAGATCGGTTTCCTGGTCAGTGAGATCAATGCCGGTGATCTCCCTGAACTCGCAGACAGCGTCGTCCCAAATGTCCTCCAGCTCTTCGTTCACAGTCGATGACGTAGCGGATAAAGTTGTGTCGCTCGTCGGAGCTGGCTGTAGGGGTTCCGGCGTGGCCAATGCCTGCGCGCGCGGCGTGTCCCGCGGAGTCGATCTCATAGGCTCATTTCGCGCTCGGTGCCAAGGTTTCGACGCCTTGCCGAGTAATGTGCGATAGCGAGATGGCATGTATATCTGGTAGTGGTAGTGGTAGAGAGGCTGGTGGTGATAAACGCCTGGGGAGGTGGGTACGACTAGGACAGGTATATATGGGGCAATGCGGATGCTTCAGGCGCTTGCGGCTGGCGGCAATCAGGTCGGGATAATCATGAGCATGTCCCGGTTCCCTCAGTACGCAGGACACGATGACTAGTCCACATAATATCTTCATCATGGCGACCAAGACCGCTCATACGAGCCGGCATGGCGAATGGCGGATGCTTGGCGGCAACTTGATGGCAGGAGGCAAGGAGTGCGTCGTGGCGCGGGAAAGCGCGGCGAGCGCTACGGCGGGTTCACTCTGGAGAGAACCGCCATCAACCGCCTTGTTAGGCCTTGTACTCCAATACATCTAATGACTCTCTAAGCTCTATCTTGCATAGAACCCCATCACCTTTGTTTTTTCGGCGGGCGCCATTACCCTTGTACTTGGCGCACTCTTGATTATGTCGGCCTTCAGTCACCCAACCACGGGGTCGGTCGGGGCATCTGGTCCTTGGTGTCCGGCCCGTTCATCGCTACAAGAATAGACCATGAGTGCATGTGGAATCGCCGTATGCCTTTGGAGCCACCTTCGCACAGCAGAACCAAAGAGGCGTGAGGTCTATGGAGGGTCCGACACAATGCTTTTGGCACTCGAAATGCGGCTAGGACAGGACCTGGACGGAGAGCGACGCCGCGCGCTGTAGAGGCCACAAAGTCATCGAGCGAGCGCGATGATATGATGCTGCGACTGGACACAGCGTACCAAGGTCGTCTCGAGCTCGAAGCGCAGGTGGGATGGCTCATCAACTACGTGAGGGAGCTCGAGCGAGAGAAAGATGCGCTTGAAGAGAGTTGCGAGAGGAAGGATGCCGAGGTGCGTCTTGCGTTGAAGTCTCACCAGGACTCGCATGCTCATTCGAAAGTATGCGTTCCAGATGGGGAAGATGCGGGCGTCTATTGCACATTTGCTCCCTCGGTTCGACGCACTCCACGAAAAGGTCTCTCGAATACCGGGAATGCTCCACGCGGTTCTGACGCAGCGTGGTTCTGTGAGGGATAGGGAGGAGCAACGACAATCGGCGCTTACCGACACAATCAACTCAACTGGCGGTGGAACTGCGGACGAGACGGCGCATTGAAGAAGGAATAGGCAGCATTCGCATAACATGAACAAGTCCATTAGTTACGTTGAAAACTGTCGGTATGGTAACTAAGTTTCTTGAAGCTGCACATAACGTTCTACACAAGTACACTACGTTCTAGAATTCCGCGGAAGTGCGTTGGGTCCAACTGGCCATACCTCCACTAAGGCTCTCCAAAACGCCTCCCATCGCCCAGGTTGTGTGCCGTGATATACCCGCTCCATGATTCGTCTTGCCAGATTATCCTTGATCCGCTTCTCGGTCCAAATCCCTGGGTACTGCTGCTCTGTTTCGTCGCCCATCCGCTTGCGAATGTCGAAATGCCTTTGAGTTTCATTTGGCCAGCGTCTATCCCGTCCTGCGTTGCTAACCGCCAACTCCATGTACCAATTCAGATACCTCATTGCGGAGCTTGCGTCTCTGTACAGCGGTATGCCACTGCGAACTGCTTGCAGGTCGTACATGAGAAGTTCGGCCATTCTTTGTACGAATTCGGGTCGGAGACCGCATTCGTCCCTCACCCATCCAGATTGGCGATACCAGCGCCTCGTCCTCGGCGTCGCAAGCAGCGCGTCTTCCATCTCTCTGATGAAATCATCTGTACGAGGCTATATATGAGGCACGTGTCAGACACTATCACGAAGAGTGCTACCAAAGCTCGAGAGCGCTTACCTCTGGCCAGCCTGGGCGTCGTTCGAAGGACGCGAGCATGTATGCGAGCTCAAACTTGACAAACATGCCAGCTAGCATGCTCTGATCAGATGGAAGCTCCAATTCGAACCCTTCGTATCCTGGGACGACCAGATAGAATGCGATGGGTTTGGCTGAAGATTTGAGATATACGTTGAGGAAAGCCCGCCTAGCTTTCGTCAAAGCGTTCGGAGTTGTGGCTGTGATGTCTCCTGAGACTGGTCCTGCAGAGGCATCGGGCGGCATCAAGTGCTGATGGATCGTCTGGTCGAATGCAGGTCCTGGCATCTGGTTTCGGGTGCTACAGTATAGTATCCATGCCTCCCTCATCCGAAGGAAGATCGCCAAACATGCCTGATACTGGAAGGCCTTGCCGGGTTGATGTATTTCCTCCGTCGACAATGGTCCGCACTCGATCTTGTAGGGAGGGAGGGGCGCGTAGGGATCTGCGTTTGGAGGGGCCATCGGAGAGATAGTGTATATGTTGGGTCGTTGCGATCTGCACTCTACTTATATATGTGAGCGAACAAAGACTTCTCGAGAACATTGAGGGTGACAGCTGTGAGACAAAACCATGTACAGGACAGAAGGTTCAAGTCCTGGAAGAGACAATAGTACGGCTTTTTGGTCTTGACCATACAGGGCTGTGGTGGTGCGCGATCACACCATAGACCGTATACAGATCCCTTTGTCTCGTCGGAGACGTTGAAACGGTTCACAACAGCTCAAGAGCACTTCTAACTGCTGATATAGTCACAGATGTACAGGAGGAAGGGCGCGGGTGAGGATGTCACCCGAATGGACAGCCAGAGTACAGTCGCCAGGCGCTGCGGGCACGCGTGCACTGCGGCGACCGACCGCTGAAAGAAGAAAGCCATCGACTATGGCGGACGCTCTTGTATAGGACAGAGCGTAGAATATATGTAGTATGGCTAGAATCCAGCGCATGTGTGGAGATGGACGTCAGAGGAAAGAAACGCTGGGTTGGGATTCGGTAAATCGCCATCGGAGTTTCGGTCCGTGTTCTGGCGATCGCCTGCCAGTGTCGCCTGCGCTCGTCCCTCGGCCTCAACAGTGATTCTCATCCACCATGACGTGCAGTACTATGCAATCCGACTTGTTTGTGCGCAGTTTGGACTTCTGAACACTTCCGCCACGCCCAACCACGCCCAACCTGTGTCGGTGCTTGTTATGTAACGACCGTGACGGCGTCTGGTGTCAGCTGGGTCGCGCGACAGCGCGCGACACGCTTGAGACTTGACATTGGCATTCATCACCTCCAACATGCATTCCTACGCCCGACGTATAAATCTACTACCGTGCAATAATGCCCAAGCTCTTGCCTCCACTATAAACCGCCGCGGGACGTCCAGTCACAATCTCTTTTACAGCCCCCTCGATGCCGCCTTCTACGATTAGCGATGCCGAATGGGCCTCTATCGACCCCAAGTTCCGCTTCGAGATGAAACGGCTGCGTCGTGAGCGCGATGACATTGCCGCAGAACGTGACGCAATGGCTGCTGAACGCAACACGGCCGTCGATACAGCCGTCAGTGCCCGCGCGCGTCTACAAGAGGACTACGATATTCTCTGCGCAGAAATACAGCAAGCCCACGTGGACATTATGACGAAGGAGCTCGAACGCGCCAAGCTCGAAAAGGATATCGCTAGCACTCGCGCGGAGGCCACGTCGCTTGTACAGCAACTCCAGGAAGCGCACCAAGAGAATGATGATAGTCGCGCGTTTGTGGAGTCGGAGACGGGTGCGGCTTTGAAGAAGAAGGACGTCAAGCTAGCGCAGGCTTGTGACAGAGAAGATCGCCTTGTAGCTCGACTTGGTCAGGCGGAGGCGAATGAGCGAGAAGCGAGAGAGAAGTTGGTTGAGGCGAGGCAGCTCTTGGAAGAGACCAGAACACATGCGCAGGCAGAGCTGAATGACGCGCGCACCGGACGAGACCAGGCTCTTTCCGAGCGAAGCGAGCTGGAAGGCATAGTCGCGGACAAGGATCATGAACTGATCGCGCTACGCAAGGGACTCCAGGAAAAACAGATCTCTGCATGGACGATTTCTGCGCCCGTTGGCCCTGCTCCCCGCGAAGCCGAGGGTCCTGAGGCCGCAAGGACATCTGAGGATACCTCGGATACATCTCGAAAGGTATGTTGGCATCTCTTCTGATGCACCTCCTGTGGCGGGTCTAACTTCCGTTCCCAGACGCAGGTGTCCTCGAAGTCCTTGACTGCGAAGCCGCAGGTGGGACTCATCGATCTGACTTTGGAGAGCGACAATGAGCAACCTGATCGTGCTTCGTGCGCTCCTGTCAAGTCCTCAGTCTCTTCTTCTACTAGTTTGTGATCCATCTGAGGCGACCCTTCATGCATACTTAATGAACGTATAGGCGCTCTCACGAAGGCTATGTCTGGGCCGGCGTCGACGCAGAGAAACGCTACCCCGGGACCTGGGCCATCGACTCTGAGAAACGTAAGGATTTGTTCAGAACTTTATTCTGCATATCTCACGATCCTTCAGCGCGAGAAATCTGCAAAGCGCGCCAGGGAGGAGGCTGAACCGGAGGTACATATGACGGCGAAGCGCGCCAAGCTCTCTTCCCGAGCGACGCAGGCCGATGTATTCGGTACGATGTCTCTCGGCGCGTGTCCCCTGTATGCTGCTATGCATTCTTACCTTATTCGGCAATATCGCAGATGTCGACGCTCAGGCACACGATCATGTACCTTCGTCTCTTCGTCATCGGGTAGAGGGGATGCGGTCTCTTGCGCTTACGCAAATTCCCTCCAATATGCTTCCAACGCCGGATAAGCCCACTGCCGGTTGGGTGAAGCGCACTCTCCTCGTCAAGAAATGGGGCGCTCGTGCCAAGGTCTCCGTCACTCATCTCAGCGTGTCATCGCACTTGTTAGAGGCCGACGACTGTCATGCCTCTCGGTCTCGCCAAGAGCCACCCACCAAGTACCCTGCTGTATTCTTGGAGCTCGACATCCTCCACCTAGGTATACCTTCCCGCCCAGGGCAACCCGGGCTCATGATCACCAATCGCGAGGATATTCCATTCGATACGCCTATTCTCACGTTCGTATGCAAGGAATCCGAATGTCTCTTCATTGGAAGGTACATTTTCAAGCGCGAGGAGCTCGCAGTTACTCAACAGGAATGGAAGGGTATGCCTCAATGGGTGAGCCAATTGTCTCATACTTTCCTGCCAGTCCCCATTGATGAGTCTGACGATCTCTCTATAGCTCCGTCGGAAATGGGCGCACACACTAGCGGATGCTCACAAGAATAGCGAGCACCTCCCAGTCGCACTTTCGCTCCTATCATCGCTGCTATGCGAGAAGAACGTATACAAGTCTGCGGTCTCGAATCTGATGCAGACGTACAATGCCGGGACGACCTATCAGCGCCAACAGATGCGCCCGTCGTGGGAGCTGGCGTTGGCAGGTATGGACAAGGGATATGCTGTACGTCTTCTCTTGAACGCGGAATCCGGATGAACTATTGCTGACTAGCTCGCGTGTCGAACTAGTTCTTGGGCGTCATCACGATGGAGCCAATTTCAGTAGCGGAGAGGCTCTATAAGGAGATTTGGGACCATCGCGGCTCGCACCGTGACCGTCGTAAGACGTCCAGAAAAGGAAAGAAGTCTGAACCCATGGACGAGTCGTCTTAGACTATCATCTGTGTATGACCTCACGTCTTCGAGTGAGCTGATTTTCTCAATTTAGACCGGCCGCCGCAACCCAATTCGGCGCTCTACGAAGCCTCGCGCCAGGAGTCCTAGAAATAGTAGAAAAATGCCCCACTATTCATTCGGTCGGAGCTCGAAGCCCTGCGCCAATTCCATTGTATATGATACAGCTTGAGATACACCTATGAAAATATAAGTCGAGATTGCGTAGGATCGGACGTCGTCGACGCAGTCCGCGGTGGCCCGCTGACGGCGAACTCTGTCCTGGACTTTTACCACTTACGGATATTGCAAATTTCGTGCTCGCTCCCTTCGTTTGTACACGAATGTTGCTATAGATGCTTAGATTGCCGAAATGCTCCGCGCGATCATCGGTGGCCGGGGAAAACCACAAAGACACCCACAAAGACGACGCCTCGCGGCAATCAACTCTCCTGCGCGTCTCGGAATCGCACGTGACCGCGTTTGGACTCCGACCGACTATATCAGGGACAGCCCCGTCTTCCGAACGGCGTTCAGTGCAGTCGTCTCTTCCCCTCAACGCCTCCCTTCTCCGGGGAAGCGAGCATATCTTCGACTGCGCTTTTGAGATTCTAGCCTTCATCCTCGCTCTATCTCGATTTCGTACCACACAATGCAACATCTCGGCGATGGTTCGGGCATCTACCCCGCACAAACGGGAGCAGAATATATCGTAGGTTATTGTTTACAAGGAGCGACAACCACATTTGACAATTATCCGCAGTACACAAACACTATGACGGACAGCATGGCGCAAGGTGGTGTGGTGGGCGGCGAAACAGGCCAGGTATGTGTGGCACCCAGTCTCCGACGCTCATCGAGGCTGATGCTGTGGTCGGATAGGTGGACGATGTACAGTCAACCAACGCACTTGGTCTGTCGCACGAAGAGTTCCTTAGGCTCTTCACGAGCGCGGTGACCCGTGGGGCCAACACCGCTCTCAGCGCTGTCTCTCCGCCTGACGGCGTCGGGGACCACATCGAGCACGGCGGGGCCAGCATGGGTCTCAACCACAACCACGTCGCCACCGAAGGCCCGTCTTCCACTTGCGTTCAGGACAACCCGCTCCAAGCGCCCCACACGCCCTTGACGGTCTCGACGCCTGCCTTGTCTCCGGATCTCGCGAGTCCCTCTCCGTCGCTGGCCGTCGCTTCTCCCAGCGCGCCACCTGTTACTGGAGATGTCAGCGCGCAGGACAACTGGTGGGAGAACATTGATTGGGATGGCCCTATGATCCGTGAACTGGATGAGGAGATAGCTAAGTTGTCGGGATCTGCGACGATGAATCACGCACAAGGTACGCAAACATGTTCTACCTCACGACGAGGACATCGCCTGACCCATGCCCATCCAGATGCGCCTCGCGCGCACACCCATGGGCGCTACGAGCCCTATCGCAAGTCTCAGGCTGTCGCCACCGGCGCAGACCTGAGCGAGCAAAACGAAATATCAACCGACGCCGCCTTCGCAGGAGGTGTCCCGTCGAACGACGCAGGTGGAATCACGTCAGCCCACCACAGTGCAGCGCAGGTAGCGACTGCCCCCACTATCGTCCCATCGCACGCACATGGAGATGCCGTGGCGACGCAGGGGCAGGCAGCAGTCGCGAACGATCGATGGTCGAGCCCAACGCTCGAAGCCACCATGGCCCCGATCGTTCTACACTCCCTCGACGCCATTCGCCACGGTCATGACGCCGACAAACGGGAATGCAGTTTCATGCTGAGGCGTACAGGTGACGCCGCGCACTCGCCGTGCAGCATGAGATTCAAGACCAAGACGGTCCGTGACCGGCATGTGCAGAGTTGCCACCTCAAGACTCTGAGTTCGGTATGCGGCCTATGCGACAAGCACAGCAGCGGATTCTCGCGCGGAGACGCCCTCCTGCGTCACATGAAGAATTCCTGCCCGGTGACGAAGAGGTGGAAAAAGGAACATGGAGAGGAATATGTGAAGGCGTATCTGAGGTCGATCGGGTATAAGCAGTATAAGCCCAGGAAGCCGAGGACGGGCGCCTAATCGTTCCGAAGGCCACTGCCGGGATTATCAGTATGATCAACACATATTACGACTGACTTGTACGAACTGTTTGCCAATAGTATGCACTGATTATCGACTTGGACGCGTGTAGCTCGGTCAAGGCGAAGTCGTCAAGGGCAGACCGACGACGATATAATTGACCAGGACCAACCCATATTCAGCAGTGGTATCTGCGCAAGACTCGTATGCGATGCTATAGCACAGTGGGAGAGATATCGTACCAGAGTGACGATCATGGATCTTCTGGGATTGTGATCTGGTGCTTCAGGTTTGCGCGCCAGCGCGGTGAGGTCGCCTTCGGATCTCGACACCAAACTATAGTTTATAGCACTACAGTAAAGTGCCGGTAACCACAGCCGCGGGCGTATGACAGTCCGGAGGGGTGGTTGCGCGTCGTCGACGTTGGATTGACAATGCGCGTACGCGATTATTTGCCAATCATTACCTGCATCGATTGCCATGTGGCACGCAACAAATCGCCGTGACGTGATATATAAGGGCACGAAGGTCGCCCGCGCGAGTCTCTTCCAAACGGCCATGTACGTTCGCACTTAGTTTGCATGTTACCTTCAATAGGGCTACCTCTCGCGTTGAGCCGGAACTTACATTGGCATGCGTTGAGGCGGGACTATGTGCCAGATATTACACTCCAGTGGGACACCTTCGTCGCTCTCACTCAACTGCGAGCTCGAGGGATCTGCGTCGAACGTTCCGACTAGCGATCATGTACCAGATCGACTAGCAGGAAACTAGGGCCCTTCTCTGAGACTTTGAGGTCCACCACCTAGTCTCGACACAAGACCCTACACGAGTGTAGGGTCTTGGGACGAAGTCCCAAGTTTTGAGGGAAGCGGGGGGGTGGCTTCAATTGGCCTTCAATGAGGCTTCAAAACCCCAAGCCGCGGCACGCGCGAGCCTTCCCACGAATACACTCGAGTGTTCAAAAAGTGTTCACTTGGGGCACCCACCCGCTTCCAAGGATTTTTGGGACCTTGTCCCAAACCCCTCTCGCGTTCTCGCATCAGGGGTTTGTTCCGAACCTAGTCCACCACCATGCTCCGGACGCGTAGCCATCGCGCCCAGGTTGCCCTTTGTCTGCATCTTGTGCCGGGGACCCTTGCTGCGCCAGTCTCTCGAGCCGTGAGCCAGTTGCCCCTCGCGCAGCGCACTGGTGTCTCTCTATTGGTCGACATGACAGCATCCGCCACTTGTTCATCTGAAGCAGACGTTCACTTAAGCTTCCGACACGGCGCGAGTGGCAGCCGGCCATGCCACTCGCCTGCCGAAGGGGAGTGGCGAAATCGTGGCCGGGCGCGCCTTGTATTTCAACTCGACCGCTGCCGGACCTGAGCCTGTATCACTCCCGTCTCCTACCACCGCCCTCCTATCCTCTCGTCGTCACAATACTCCGCCCTTGCATCTTCCACAGCCATGAGTGACGAAGGCACGTCGGATACACCTTCCCTCTACCAGGCCGTCCTCGCGGCCCTATCTGATCCTGCGCATCGCAAATACGTTGAAAAACTGAAAACAGACCGGTTCGAAGCGTCCAAGAAACGAGCGATAACGTTGCAGGAGATGGCAGAGTTGAAGAATCTGCATGCCAGATTGGACGGTAATGGCAATCCGACTGCCGCGGTGTCTGACGTGGGCTCAACTGCCCTCATGCCCGTTCAAGAGGGGCAAGGACAGGCTGACAGGCGTGCTGGACCGCCTTCGGCTGCGCCTCCAGGCAGAGCCCGAGCAGCAGAGGTACGCGCTGCGACTAATACCTACTCATTACACTTGCTGAGGCCTACTTCAGCCGGACAGGACATCTCAACGCCAGTCCATCTCGGCGGAGCGCCAGGCGGAAGTCGTAGATCTATCTCAGGACAGTGACGAAGAAACTCGCGTGCCGCGGCTTAATGCTGAGGCAGGCGCGAGTTCGTCGACCTCTATCGCGCGTATGTGCCGCCCTCTCTGTGCAGGCTCTCAGACGTAACCACTTCATGCGCAGGACGGTCGCCGCGAAACACCCCGACTGCTGTCCCAGCGTCATCCGCAATGGGAAGCCTTGTGAGTTGTCTGCTCCTCTTCCCGACTTCGCATACTTACTCGCAACTGTAGCGTGTCCAAAACTCGAAGCGACCCGCGAACCAGATGAATGGTGTGGAGACCCCGCAAGGAGCGAAGCGTGCAAAGACATCCGGTGCGTTCTAGTGCTGTGATTAGATTTCGCCTAGTAATGCTCATGCGATAGCCATAGCGCCTCAAGCTAGCTATATGCATCCTCTGCTCCAGGCTCTGGTCGATGCTGTCCCGGCTTCGCTCAATCAACGCGTGGCACACATGCAACCCATCGTACCAACACGTATACCGCCACAGAAACTACCGAGCGCCGCCCATCCCATGACGGGCTGGGTCAAACGAAAGCCCGTGTTTGTGGACAAGTATGGCGCTGCGCAACAGAGTTTGGTCACCAAGCTTCGCATCCTACCCAGTCAATTGGTCGACGACGCTGCCGCAGTGGCTCTTCGCAACGAAAGACGCATCAACCATAAGGCGTTATTCGCCAAGTTGGACCTTAACCCGGGATTGCCTACCTTTCCTGGAAAACCCGGGACACTTATCACCAGCCGCGATGATGTTCCGCTCGAGCAGCCCCTTCTCGTGGTCGTGAAACCAACGAGGGACGCTTCCTGGCTCTACGTGGGCCTCTATAAGTTGCACAAACACGATCGATCTGTTACGGCCCAAGAGTGGAAGGAAATGCCTAAAGCGGTGTGTCTCTTGGTTCGTAACTTTCCCCGCTGACGTCGGTCACTCACGCTTCGACTACTCAGACGCGAAACGGATGGGCCAGAATGCTGGCCGGCCCCGAACGCCCAACACACGATTGCTATTTCCGCATCGCCCTCCGGCTCGCTCTTTCTCACAGCGCGGGAAGTCAAGTTCCTGAGGCAAAGGTGGAAGAAGCGTTCAACTTGTACAACCGCTCGCGTGAGAGCGAGCAGAAAAAGATGTTACCTTCGCAGCAACAGGTCCTCGAGGGTTTGGAACGAGGCTATGACGTGCGCCTTCTCTCTTCTCACTCGTGCGTCATGACTGACCGTAGTATAATAGACCATCGGAGTGCTGACGCTCGAACCCATCGCTATCGGCGAAAGGCTGTACGAGGAGATATGGGATGCGCGATCGACTGCCTGATCAGTAGTTCCTGCGATGGTAATAGGCTGAGCGCTTGTTATTGAGTCTATAAATTGCTCCAAGAAATGTTTTGTGATACAATAGCTAGAAGATCGGACAATGGAAATACTCACAAGGTTGTATATCGCGTGCTACTTCTTCACGTCGCCATGGCAGCAGGAGTCCTCGAGCCGTTCGAAGTTCGAACCGTAAACCGAAGACACACAGGAACCCACAACGTTCAACGTTACCCATAACGCGGTCAGGTGCTCGTCGCGCGCGCTGACGGTTGACCTCAACCATCACCTCTGCTGTCGCAGTCGACTCTTCTTTCGCAATCGACAACTCTTCCAGTCAAATCTCGACGCGCTCGATACTCGATGAGCTGAGCTCGTGACTTGAGGCCGCGGGACGATCTGGCACGAGAGTGCGCCGACGACGAACGGCCGCAGGCCGAGAGGTTGCTTGTTAGAGTTCAGGAGGAACATGCACGTCTTGCAAGGGGACCCGCAAGCTCCAGGTGTGAAGGGAGGGCAACATGATTACGGATGTGGGTTCGTGTGGTCTGTGGCTGCATGACATCGTGAATATGCGCTCGTCTTTGTCTCATCCTCTCCCTATATGCAGTCTCAAGTAGATCTCCTCTGCTTCTTGCCTCGCCAGGGTCGGGTAGTACCTTCCCTCTCCCCACCACAATCAACTTGTCAGCAGTGAGTAAATGCCCTTTTTTTATCCCTTCCCGCTGCTGACTGTGCGCTGCCTAGTGCTGCATGACTCGTCCGTGCGCATTGACAAGGTCTTCTTCACGTCCTGCGAATGGGTCTCTTCCTACCGCAATGGCCGATTCCCAGTATCTCCCACCGCCAATATCCTTTCCGTCTCTCCCAAGCTCGACCTTCACGACCTCCATCAGCGCATCTCCGATGTAGAACGCCTCCGTGCATTCTATCCCAACGCTACGTGCGACTTCCACGGCACTCCTAGCGGAGCCTTATGCGTATACAAGAATGGAGGCCCCTGGCTCGTACGCACCGATCTCGACGTTGGCCGCATCTTAAGAGAAGCGCGGCCCGTCTACGATCACCCTCTGCAAAGCTCTTGGCGCGCCGTTGGCGAGCGCATCTATACTTTGCTCGACGATAGGAAGGTCCGCTGGACGTCCATAGATCCCCTGGCTTTCGCAGAAGTAGGAAAGGAGACATTCAGCCCCCTTTTGTTATGGATCGGCGTAGAGCCCGCGTCCCTCGCATACGAGGACGCCAATGCGGCGGCCGAGGTCATCACGTTCTTCCTATCCGAGGCGGGCTTCGTAGGCGTCGAAGTTGGCTTCCGGGAATCTGTCGTCAGCCGCGCCGTGTCTGGCCCCAAGATGCTCAATTTCGACCCGCACTTCGTGTTCCGCCAGCCCTCCGCTGAGGTCCGCAAGCCCTTCACCCCCGCGCTCGGGCTCTCTATCTCCACGCTATACACACCTGATTTCGAAGGCACTGGCGCTCTCTACTTGCGCGAGAGCGAATCTAGCGATCGCGTCTTCCTCCTCACCTGCGCCCACGTCGTTCGCCCTCCTCCCGTCCATGACATAGTGAACCCGCCTCGCAAGGTCCAGATTCGTCCTCGCGACAAGGTCATCGCTCTCGGTGACGCAGGCTGGAGCGACGCCATCCTGAACATGATGTCCGTCATAGCGGAGCAGGACCACTTGATCAGGGACAGCAAAGACACGATTCGTATGTATGAAGAGGAAGATCTACGGGTGGGCGAGGAGACGGAGCTGTCCGAGGTAGAAAAGAGCGCCGCGCACGTATCGCTGAGCTGGGCGCAGGAGGCGATCGAAGATATAGATCGTTTTCACAGCGAGGTGACGAAGAGCTGGACGCTGCCGAACGTGCGCGTCATTGGCGAGATTGCGCACGTCGAGCCAGTCGCCGTCGCCACCGAGCCCCATCGCTTCACCAGGGATTGGGCACTCATTCAGCTGTACAACGAGAAGTTCGATTGGAGTACTTTCAAGGGCAACAAGGTGTACATTGGTGCGTTTTGCATCGCTCGATCGGTGTCGCATCACTCTCTTAGTTGACTGTCTGTTCTTTGCAGCCGGCAACATTTCTTGCTTGGATTATTGCACGATCATGTTTCCTGGCGATATCCATGCAGGCGCCAATCTATATCCGAGGGACTGCCTTCTCCAAGCTAGTGGTGTCGTTCAAGCCACCGAGATCCACGAGCCGCTGCACCGCGACGCAAATGGGGAGAAGTGTCTCCTAGTCGTCAAGAACGGCCTCGCTACCGGCACCACCATTGGCCGCGTCATGGGAATGGAGTCGTTCACGCGCACGTATGAGGATCATGCTATCAAGGATACGTCAATCGAAATTGGCGTCCTTCCGTATGGCATGGCACCTAAAGACCGGTATTTTCGTGGACCTGTCCCCTTCTCTGCTCCTGGTGATTCGGGCGCTATCGTTCTTACTAGGGAGGGCCGCATCCTCGGGATGATCACGGGTGGCGCTGGGAGTCTCGCTGGAACGGACATCACTTACCTTACACCGTATTGGTACATTGAGGAGGAGATCAAGAAGGTGTTCCCGGATTCTCGTCTGTACGAGGTTGTCAAGTAGATCTTCATGTCAGCCTTGATATACCATCGCCTCATCCGTGTCGCATGCAATGTATGTGTGAGAGTACTGCGTTTCGAGATGTGCACTCGAACCAAGATGGGTGCCGCAATGTCGTTGAGAACGGTCTTTGCTGCCCGATTAGCCCGAACGCCATACGGACCGGGAGCCGGGGGTAAACACTTGGACCCATAACGCGGTCAGGTGCACGGCGCGTTCACGTTGAGCGGAAGTTGACCTCGACCATCACGTCCGCTAGTTTGCTAGAGCATTCACCTCTTTCGGCGCAATGAGCAATCCCGACGGTCGCATCTCTACGCCTTGGCTACTGAGTGAAATAACCTCCCGACTTGAAGCCGCGGAGCGAGCTGCACGCGAGCATCAAGAAGCACGAGAACGCGCCGAGGCTATGCTCGCTGCGGTAGAGTTGCATGAGAAGGCAGACATCATCGCAGACGCGCAGAAAGCGATGGAGGAAGCGGAGAGGAGATTCGAGGAGCAGATTGCGAACTTATGTGACCAGGTATGTCTACAATATAGCTTCGACGCTCGAAGCTGACTGGACCGTCGGCAAGGTCGAAAAGGCAAAGGACAATGCTGCGAAGGCAAGGACCGACTGCCACAAGACCGAGCACTTACTACAAGAATGGATTGATAAGGTACTTTTACGGTCTGGGGTTCTGCACGGTACCTTTGGATTAACCGTGCTCAGTCTAAAGCGGACAACCAAAAACGTCTGCGTGCGGAGAACGTGCTTGCTAAACTCCAGGCCGAACACGCCGCGCAGCAAGATCTAATCTCGACACTCGAACGCAGCGTTGCAAGTAGTCTTGACCGCATCAAGACTCTGGAGAATGATCTGGCGTCGGCTCAGGCGCAAACCAGTACTCAAAGTGGCGACGGCGACGCGACCTTGGATGTCCCTCTTGCTCGTGGAGCGAACCAGGCTCAACACGGCGCGACGTCTGACCAGGGTGATCCAAGGGTCAGTAGACCATCTCTATTTAAAACCTGACGAGTTTGGCTGAAGGATGACACTGGCAGGCTGGGAGGAATGCAAAGAGGCCAGTGAATGGAGACGGCCATGAAGAATCGACGGTAGCAAGCCAGCCAGCCAAGCGCGCTAAGACATCTACGCGAGCGGGTTTGTGCTTCGGGCCGGCTGAATAGCTCCTACTGAAACCCGAAATGAACGTTCTCCAGATACAGCGCAAGTCACCCTGTCAAATGAAGCAGAGCATGCGCACGATCGACATTCTTCGCCGCCAATGGATCAAGTACAATCGCTTGCTCGGCGAGGTGAGTATATAGTGTCGCTTCTTGCTTCCGCGTTTCCCATTCCGAGATGCGAGAACTCATAGCGTCCGGCCTCGCCGCAACCATCACTCCTCGGTCCACTAAGCTCAGTATCAAGAACTATGTCACTGGCCCTACTCGGACGATCTGGGACAACCACTGGTGCGTCTTCGATAGCGTTCGAGCTAGCCATCAATACATCGTTCTCATTCCCGCTGCAGCAAAGTTGGCCTACGACCTTTCATACATAAAGGGCGCGCATATGAGGTGGGGGATGTGTATGTTGAATCTTGCTCTTAGCTCCGTGTTTGTTCTTATATGCGCTCTCCTCTTCAGCGTCATGGTGAAGAACCCTTACCGTTCGTGGTCTTGCAGGGGGCGACCCTTCAATAGCCCAGGTGCCATGCCCGATAGGTTGATCGGTGTACTATGCGACTATACCATGTACATTGAGGTCGACAGCGAGAAAAAGCCAACATCATCGTTAGAATTGGGAAAGGATGTCGTGACATATGTAAGGAAACACATTCATCCTTCAAGAGATGAAGCTTTGAAGGCTGACCGTCGGCAGTTTCGTGTAGCGTACTTAACAACGCCGTACGACATAGCAGATCCCCAAAACGAAGGGACTGAAGAGTTCGAGAGTCTCGATTCGCTCGTCGATAATCTCCAAGCTCTGTGCGTTGCAGCTGTTTGCAGTCACCAGACCAAGTGTGTTATACGATACTGATGTGTCCACGCCTGGCTGCAGCGTTAGGAACCCTCGAGACGCCACAGGTGGTCTAACTCTTGGCTTCGGGCGTTACGCGCGTTACGAGTCCTTCGCTATTTGCTCGGACGCTACAGTGATATTTGATAATGTGCTTCTCGGTTAGTATTGCGTGCCCATGCGCAAAAACGGTCAAATACTCACTGCACTTTCGCTCTCAGGCCATGTCGATCCGCTCGACGTTGGAACAGGCCCCAGTTCGAAGCGCCCCATTGTCGTCAATTGGTCTGGCCCCGCCCTGATAGAATTTATCTCGGAGAGGTATGATAAGAACAGAGGACGTTTAGGTTCGCCGTGCACAGCTTTAGTGAAGAGATCCGGTGTCCCGGATGGTGTGCTCCCGGACGGTTGGGTGGACGAATAGACCCGGTGCCAATATTCTTGATGAATACCTATTGCTAGTACTACATCCGCGCTGCTTACTCAGACTGCTGCTACGACACCTTATATACCCCATTCATACTCCAGAGGTCATTATACTTGGCACCAGAGATCGAAGAGCCGGCGTGCGTGTTATGATGTGAGCGGAAGGTATCTCGGATACGCTGTAGTCTAGATGCTATTCAGAACCAGTAACTTGATGTTCGCTCGCGGAAAAGATCACCGCGGTCAGCCATGCTCGTACCTCTTCCAGTCTCAGCATCTTACCATTCAACTCCGCAAGATTGAAGAGCAGCGGGCTTTCGATTATAGCGCTGGGTGTCAATGAACGGAACGCTAAAACGCCATGTATGCCGTCGTGCAAAACCCATTCACGCATACATGTACTCTCTATACGTACACCACCACACCAAAACACACTCGATCAAACCTCATAACCATTCATATATTGTATCCAGCACTCCTCACCCATCCGTCCAACTAAAGCGTCTCCTTCCCCTTCGTATCGTACGGCAGCAGCGCGATCATGACCATCGACAACCACGCGCCGCCCGCCGCGAGCCACAGCACGGCGGGCGAGGACGAGCCGTTGTACAGCCCGCCCGCGGCGATGGGCGCGACCTGTGGGTTATTCATCATCAGTTTAAGAGTTTAGAGTCAGCGAGAGGAGAGTGAAGAGAGTGGGGGGTGTGGGGGGTGTGAAGAATGAAGAGGGGAGGGAGTAGGAAGACGCACGATGCTGGCTATGCGGCCGAGAGTCGAGAGCGCGCCGGACGCGGAGCCGCGGAAGGGCGCGGGGAAGACTTCGGGCGTGTATGCGTATAGCAAGGCGTTATAGAAACTGTCGATGCATCCATCAGCTTGTACTCGCAAGCCGTAGTGTAAAGAGGCGTGAGAGAGTCTCACCTCTGGAACCAATACTCCATCGCATTAAACCCCACGCTCGCCCCCACACTCCCCACGACCTGATACAGCGCTAAACTGAGCCCCATGCCCGCCGCGCCCAGCACCATCGCCCATTTCCTCCCCAACCGCCTCAGCTCCATAAAGTAGCATGCCACTAGGGGGGCGGAGACGCCCGGGAGGTAGATGTATATGTACGAGCGGTACGTCTGTGCGAGGGTGCGGGACGTGTCGATGCCTTTTGCGCGGAGGATGAGGGGGAGGAAGTAGCCGGCTATTGAGAAGGACCAGAAGTCGGACATGAAGCTGTTGTGATGTGTTAGTGAGTGGGTGAGTGTGTGAGTGAGAGGGGAGAGGGGGGACGCACGCGATGGAGAGGATTGTGAAGAGGTAGATGTACGCTTTGGACTTGAAGAGCCCTTTGATGTGCGCGAACGTCTGCGCGAAGCGGCCCACCACGACGTCCTTCGCCCTCCGTCCATGCACCTCGTCGCCCTCCTCTTCCACTACCGTCCCAGAGCGATGGGCCTCCTCCTCATCCAACGCCCGAAAGTCCTCGTACGTCAAACCCGGTACAGGCCTTTTGTTGACTTTGGCAACAGCGTAGATAACCTCTATCGCCTGCTCATCCCGCCCCTTGGATAAGAGGAACTTGGGCGACTCGTGGAACGTGAACACCACGAAGCGCAGCACGAACACGGCCATCGTCACCGCGCCGAGCGCGATCATCGTGTAGCGCCACCCGCGGTTCGAGCGCATCGTGCAGCAGGGCGTCGAGCCCGTGACGGTGTTGCATGCGGGGAGGGTGGACGCGCAGGAGTGCGGGGGGATGAGGGCGTAGGCGAGGAGCGTTGATACGACCACGCCGAGCGGCTGGAAGGTGCTTAGGGCGGCGAGGAGGAAGCGGCGGTTCTGACAGGTGGCGCGGGATGTCAGATCAAAGGACGCGTTTGGGGGGAGCCTTGCTTACTTTGGGGAGGAACTCGAGCGTGATCGTCGCGTCGATGGGGATGTTGCCGCCCACGCCGAACCCGATCTGTCCCGCGCGTCAGATAACATTCAAAGGGTCGCAGGTCGAAGATCACGCACCAAAGACGCGAAGAAGCATATCGCCCCATAATTGCTTGGCGCAGCGAACAGAAAGCCAAACACGGACGCGATGAGGCACGTCAGGTTGAAGCACCACCGCCGCCCGACGATATCGACGAGCATGCCCCACGCGAACGCGCCGACGGTGAGCCCGGTGTGGAACGCGGCGGCGAGGTCGCCGATGCGCGCGTTCGGGACGCCGAGCTCGCGCTGGAGCGACGCGGCGACGAGGGAGAAGGCTTGGGACCAGCAGAGGTCGAGGAAGTAGCCGAAGCCGCAGAGAGTGAAGACGAACCACTGGTAGCGGCCCATCCCCATCTGGCTGCACACACTATCAGTATACAGCTTGAACGTAAAAGACAATATAGACGCACTCGAGCTCGTGGTTGATAAGCACGCTCTTCTTCTCGTACAGCGACAGGTCGTGGAAGGACCTCCCGCCCGGTATCGCGCCCTCGGGCACGAGACTGGCGAGCTCGTTCACCTTCACGACCACGCCGGCCTTGGACGACTTGTTCGAGTCCAGACTGTCCCTGTCCCCATCCCTATCGGCGCGCTTACTATCCCGCCCGTCCTCGTCCTGCGTGTCCTCTTCAACGAGCGTATGCGCATCGGCCATCCTGAGCAGCGGAACTCCGTCTTCGTCTTCGTCGCGTGCGGTCGCAGGAGTATGAGCAGGGCGGAGAAAGGAGAGCGAGAAGAGACCCATGCGAGTCCTTCCGGCGGGAGGTTATGTGAGCAACAGGGGCCATCCGCCCAGATACGGCCCGTCTGTATTCGACCCGGCGCGGATGTCTTGGACAGGGCGGGCAGTCGCCTCTCCTAATACGACGAGAAGACCGCAGCGCGTGACGCGCGTGTAGGCGCTCGATCTGTCGATGCTGGAGCGCGTCCCGCCGGCTAACGTAGGCGCGCGGGCTACCCGAGACAGGATGGGTGCAGTAGACGATTGCGGGATGCTGGTGGCGCGCTGGAGACGTAGGCGCGCTTCGAGGGAGCGCGTAGGGTATAGAGCTAGCTCGAGTATGTGGCGTGGTGGACCTGTGTCCCAGAACGCATAAGTGCCCGCAGATCCGTATCCAGATCCAGCTCTGTAGCTGCGACGATTGCCTGCGGCGACGATGCAGAAGCGCCGGCTGCTGTCAGAGTGCCATCAAATCAGACTCGGAGCCGCCGCGGCAGCGGGATTCGGGAAAGACGAGGGCGATCGCGGCTCCGGGTCGCTCATGGGCGTAGGTTCGCCTTCCGTGGTAAGGTGCATGAGGAGATGTTCGAAGGGAGGGGTAGAGTGAGAGTCGGTTCCCAGGCGGCCGAGGTCGGCAGAACGGACGACCGACGCGTCGCGCGTTGAGGTTAGGGTCACAAACTGACCTGCTCTTGACCATCATCATGTCGGTTCTGCTCGTGACCACAGCCTCCGCATGTCGACTACATACCTCTCAATGCAAGGAAAGTCCCGATTGCATGGATCCCGATTGCATGGACGGCGCCGGCTAGACTGAGGAGCCGAGCAAGCAAGCCTCTTTCAGACGGCGAGTACGTCTGATTTGCTCCTCGCATTCGCTCGAATCGCGGCATTCCAGAACAAGGGTTAGCTCACTTGCGCACGCCTGACTTGCCTCTTTAGATGACTCGCAGATGTCCGCTCAGTAGACGCGACTCACGTCCCCGTGAACCGCCTGGCCGATGTGGTCCTCGGGGTTCCTCGAGGACTTATACGCCGGAACCCTCGAGTTCCCACTCGCGACGTCGATCTTGCACGACATGATGGAGCTGAGGCACTGATAAGCATGCGTCTAGGCGGCCAGTATGCGCGCTCGCTCGCGGGAACAATCTCCCGAAGTGAGCCCGAGGTATCGCGGAGCGCGTCGTCGCTTGCTATATCCCCAGTTTCGTGGCGTATTCGAACGTAACTTTTCGTCTCATTCAGATACTATACTACTAAGACAGTGTGGTTAGGTAAGAGCGATGAAGCGATGGAACTACCTTCCCGGTGCGTCTTGCGTTCTAGAAGGTGCGCTGTGAGGCCTGAGGTTCGAGGTAGAGACTGACGGTCAACCTCTTTCCTTCCCAGATCTTTGCTCCCTCCCCACGTAACCATCCATGCGGTACTCGTCTCCATATCACCATCCGTATATCTTCTTTGCGGCTCTAGAGTCCACGGTGTCCCATCCTTTGAGCTCGTCGAGAATCAGGGAGAAGTCCCATGGAGGGTAGAGCCCTTTTGCCGTGAGCTCGGTATAGAGTGGTGGCTCGTATACAAGCGCACAAGTTGAATCATTTCCCAAGTAGAGACAGCTACGGTGGTCGATAGGCATGTCCAAATTGCGCCGTCTCTTGTTGAGATCGTGCTGTGCCTCTGCCAGACGCAAAAACCCGCGCCACCCTCGGCGCCATCGTTGACGCTCGTCAAGCCCCAAAGCCCAAGTTTTTCGAATGCGACTCTGTACCTCTTCAAGGTGCTTCTTTTCATCTTCGTACTCGGCGAAATGGTTTAGGAAGATGATGATCCAGTCGCACCAGTCGAAGAATAGCTGCTCGTCATCATTCAGCCGCTCATCAAGCTCGATAGCTCTTGAGAGAAAGGGGAGCGCTCTCGCATAACCCGTTCGCACATAGTAAAGTGCCACAAAGGCGTAGCGTCTGTACAACTCTGCCAGTATGAACGGCTCTCGCGCATAAGCCTCCGACTCTCTAATTGCCTCGGACACAACCTCAAGGTTCCTCGTCAAGTAAGAGGAAGACCTCAAGACCTGCAGACAACGCTCGCGGCATGTTCCTTGACGGTCTAAGCCAAGTTTGAACACTTGATCCCAGTCTCCGATTCCCTTGAGGTGCAACATATAGTCGATCAGAATCATGAAGAGCTCGTCCGAGATGGGGTGATGTTTCAACATGTGATGGCGGATAGGTGAAAGAACGTTGAAGTGTTGGTACTCAGGATCGAGAAGCCGAGGATGACCGCCGTACGTGTACACCAGTGAAGATTGCGTCAGATGCTTTATGGCGTGTCTAAATGAGAGACGGCCCTTGAAAGCATCGTCCAGTCTCGGGAACAAATTTCCACCCACGCCGTCTGCATACATGCAGAGTATAGTGAGGACGTCGACGGCCTCTCTGTATTCAAGCGCACGAAGAGATATCTCAATGGATACACCGACATTGTTCAGACGATGTCTTATGCCTCGGAACTGGATCATGTCGATACGCTCACGCTCCCAGCGTTCCCAGATGGACTTCGTGGTTTCGCTTCTGGCAAGGCGCGCTAAGAGGGTGACCGCCAGAGGCATGCAATCCACCGCTTGAACGATTCGGACGGCATACTCGTCGTACCCTGTGCAAATGGTGTCCCAAGTCCGCACAGCAGCGTCAAAAGAGAAGGGTGCGATGGGTTTCAGGGGTGGGAAAGACCACCCGATGAGAGGCGTATCGGTCACCCGGCTTGTGATCAAGAGAGCAAGCGAAGGTGTGGATGCAATCTCCGAAAGCAATATCTCGACAGCGGCTGTATCTGCATCCCATGGGGTTTCAAAATTATCAAGACAAACGATCCCGCGTACGGATTTCAGATCTGAGAGCAGGCGGTGTTGAGCATGTTCAGGCGTAACGCTACTTTCGAACTGCAAATGTATGGCTGCCGCGAGCGCACGAACAACACCGTCGGCTGTAGTCAATGCCTCGCAAGGCACGAAGCAACGTCGCCCGTCGTACAACGCCTTGACATGTGGATGGTGAAGCACTGTCAGAGCAATAGACGTCTTGCCGATACCACCAGACCCCACGATAGCAACACGGGACGGAGCCTGGTGCTCTATGAGATCAAGGACATGAGCCACTTCGCTCTCACGACCGTAGAATATGGGAGGAGCGGCACGAAGGCTCCACTCGGTCCTACGTCCAGATGAGTTTGCGGTGAACGCAAGAGATGTGCACGACGTACGGTAAGCCGGACGAAGCCGCCTGCATGACATCCTGAGGCTGCTCCTCGCGCAGACGGTCCACGGCGAGTCGCAGATCCTCGAGGATGACCACCTGATCAACTTGAAGAATTGTCTAACGTCATAGCGACAAGGATGAGTCCACACTGTCCAAAGAACTGTTATCGCTACACGAGGACGCACGTTGAATCGCTGTAGTGCCTTATCCATCTTCGCAGAGCAGTCCCTGACGGATTTCGCCAGCGCAGAGCGCTTGAAGTAAAGGAATATGCGATCCCGCTTGCGTTTGTAGTCGATTGTACATTTCTGCAGGTAGATGATGCATTCCAGAACGATCCTACTCGTGCCGATTAGTCCAGTCTGTACGTAGACGTATACGAATGGCGCACCCTTCAAGTTCTGTAAACGCCGCTTGAAGAGACTCATCCAGCACGCCATGTTCCTTTCCTGATCTGAAGCACTTATCGCGGAAGTTATCGATGATGGCTTTCAGAGTTTGTGCGTCGGCTATGGCCGCCCTGCATTCGTCCTTGCACTGATTGACTTCCTGCGAGATATATGGCTAAGAGGCTTGACGAGGCGCAGCTGGTTGCAAGTGTCACTCACATCCTGAATCTTGATGAACTCGGTCAAAGCGAAGGAGATCGCGCCTAGATACGGTACGTTCTGAGTCGTCTGGGCAGCAATACTCAAGGCGACAATGGCAATCCTTGCCGCGCCCTTCATATTCTCCATGACTCCATCTCTAATGCCTAAATCACCCGTGAGCACGTTTACGACGACGACGCGTGTCAAAGACAACGGCGTACCAAGACGGCTGCAAGTCGTGGACTCTACTGTTGCGCTCTCACCATGAGCTGACTCCAAGGCAGGAAGCGGCATTACAAGCCGTACTCAGTGGCGCAGGGAAGTCGCACGACTATAATACGGTAGCCTGGCACAGTGGTACTTGGAGTTTGAATCTAGTGGAACGCAGCAAGGAGAGTAGACGAGCGCCGATGCTCTGAGAGCGGTCATGCGGTGTTCGCGTTTGATACAAGCGGCGGCCGGCCCGGGCTATCCGCGCGCACTAGGCCCAACTTTGACCAATCTACGCAGGATACGCGAGCGAGAGGAGACGGCTGCTATACATCACACGAGCGCTACGAGTGATATAGTCCTGGCATGCATCTTCGAGCAGACCGGGACATGTCAAAAGGAGAAACAAGTTTATTCAGGTTTATTCACGCCTGACATCATCTCAGGGCCGGAACGCGGTCTCGTGAGTTGACGCACAGAAGTGGTCAGACCAAGATCTACTCGAGTAGAGCGCATTTTTGTACTGAGTGTGACTTCTATGAAGCTCACTCGTTGAGAGGGTACAAAAGGCGAGATGACACCACTCATTGTACAGAGAACGTTACATCATTCGCGAACAAAGCTTGTAAGAATTTCTGTCGCCCGGAACCGGGATTTGAGTGATGCGCTGCCCAAGACAGTATGTAGGCTATTCTCCCTCCCAAGAGATCCCATCGCTTGTGTATACCTCCATCAGCCCTCCTGACCCTGTTATGCTCGCTCTGATAATCCTCGTATCGCCCTCTAGGCCCATCCGACCGCGCTGAATCATGTTCCTTCCCATATAGCGTTGTGATGAGGTGCGCCGTTAGGATACTCATGCCGAAGTCTTTCTGGTATCCGTTACTGAGCAGATGATCAGACAGGAGGCTGGCCACCTGCGTTAGAGTTTCGCCCCGTATCCCAAGGTGTTCTTCGGGTGGTGCACGGTGCTGCCCTTGCGTCGGATGCCCAAGCTCAGACTGCTGATGTGCCTTTGCTTGAACGAGCGCTGAGATATCAATGATTTCCTACACTGCGTATCAAAGACTAGTGATAAGTCAACGAATCCGCAACGTACTGAAAGTTCAAGCTCCGGCTGGCCGAGGTAAACGAGCAGATAGGAAGTCTCTATCTTCAAACAAAGACTCATCAAGAGCTGCTCATCCTTGGGGAGTGTCAATTCAAAGGGAATGTCTGATATGTACATGTCTACGTTGAAGACACCGTCGGTCAAGCCGCCGTAGATATCTGAGAACCCTTCCTTGACCTTGCGCGCAACATCGCTGGGAATAACGCGAGTAGGCAGGAGATTCGATGGCAGTCGGCTGTTCGTAGTTCCCGGCCCACCACTAGCCAAGCCGTCCCGCAATCGCGCAAGCGTGACAGCGCCGTCGGCGCAGGAGTCCGTTATCAAGACGATGATGTCGAAGGTTATCCTGCAGATACGGCGCGCGTAATTTGACCACGACTCGAGCTCGTTGGGTGTTGCGGATGGTCCAGCCGGAGCCGCACAGTGGGGAAGATACGACGGCGAGTTGGTCATGTCGGCGTTGATTGGATGTAGATGATGCCCGTACGTGCCATCGACCCCGGCTTAAAAGCTGAGGATAACAAGAGAGCCACTCGAACAACGGCGTCCCATATTCGAGAGAGCTCAAACGTCGGTCAACGCGCGTTTTGACAGCGCGCACAGGTTCTCCTCGTCTGTCCTTGTGTCCAACTTTCGCCACGTCCAAGAGCCTGTTGTTCGTGCGACGATCCTCGAGCCACCCCAATGATGCTCTTGTCCCGTATAGAGTATTGCCCCACCGAGGACACGACGGTTCGTGCGGCATCTCGCCATCCGTGGCCCGGGTGGCCGGATCGGATGAGAGGATATTTAGGGTGGTCGGCCGTATTTGGAGGTGTGGTCCAAGCCCAAGGATTAGAATGTGAGGAGACGACCAGTGAGAGCGGTAGCCTATCACTCGTCCTTTGCGATGGTGTGTCCGTTTGTGGACAACCCAGAGCGGCGCGCAAAGTCTGAAGAGCAACGGGGTAAGCCCCGAGTACATGCAGAGATCGGAGGTGCACTCACTGACTTCGGCGGAGCCAGATGCACCGCCTCTCTTGATTTGGTGCTCAGTCTTGAACCATGATGACCGAGTCGCCCAGACGAGAGTACACAACGGCCAACTTGAGCGCCCTCTCCAGGGTGTTATAGCAGCAGGATACGCCCAGAGAAGTTATACCAGTCGCAATCTGGCATAAGATTATATCGAGTAGTGTACCGGCGCCTTGAGCGCTGTCGACGGAGGTGGAAGTTGGGAAGCAAGCCGCTGATGAACTGTGTTCAAGTTCAACGCGGCGGGCCGGTCATCCGAGCCGCGCCGTTCTGACCGCTCCAAGGAGCTCCAAGGCCGAAGGCCGCTCGCTCGCCCATGCGCATCTCAATCGTTTTGAACGGAGCCGTTACATTCGCACCAGAGCTTCTAGATCGCGTACTTTACGGAAGCAGTGACTTCGAAAGAACCAGGGTGCACCACAACATGAGCGTCAGAACTCAGAGGCAACAGAGTCCAGACAACATTCTCAACCCTAACCTCGACGCGTCTCGCGTCGGCGCGTCCACCGTTCTGCTCAGTGCTCACGCGCCTTCCCTCTTTCCACCATTCACCTCCGCTGCTGCATACCCCAGGCCGTGTAATCTCGAACAATTATAATCCGCTTAGAATAATGGCCATCCGACGCGCTGACGGCCGTACGCCGCGCGAGCTGCGGCCCGTGAGCATTACCTGGGAGAAATTGGCTCGGGCAGACGGAAGCGCGCGTTTCGCGTTCGGTGCGTCTCATACATTTCTTTCTGCCTACGCGAAACTAACAATATCTTCTATCTTTCTCTACTGATTATACACATGGCTACTACACGATCTTCTACTCGCAATCTACGCCTGCCGAACTCCAGGCTCAACCGCCGCGCTCGCCTCCCTAACAGGCCCCACAGACGTCCCACCCGCCCGCGAACACCCCGCCCGCGCATATCTCGACGTCCAAGCCCGACCCATATCCGGCGTCCCAGGCCCCTCATCCCGTGCGCTAGCGAATACGATCAAAGGATGCCTGAGCGCGAGTCTGGAGTTGGGGAGGTACCCGCGGACGATGGTGCAGGTTGTCGTTCAGAGTCTTAGCTCTGACTCGGTGACAATTGGATCTGCAAGGGAGGATGACGATGTGGAGGAAGGGGAAGGAGTGGAAGCGGGGAAGAAGAGGAAGAGGTGGTCAGGCGAATACGCGCCCGCACACGCCGCATCTCTCAACGCCGCCTCCTGCGCGTCCCTCAACGCAGGTTCGGTATCATCGACCGGAACACTCTGTGCCATTTCTCTCTCACGCACACAGTCCTGCGCACTGTACGTCGATCCTACGCCGGAAGAATGGACCGACGCAGAAGCGAGAGGGTGGTTCGTGTTCCTCGTTACGCGCGATGAGGTCGAGGATGAGAGTAGCGGGAGCGATGAGGATGAGGATGGGCTGAGGTGTAGGGCTGTGTGGCAGAGCTGGACTGTAGCTGGTGGAGGAGAGGTCGAGAATGGGGAAGTCGAGGAGGCGAGGGATGTTGCGGAGGAAGGCGCCAAGGCCGTTTGGCATGCGATGAGGAGGGCTGTCGCGGAGACATATGGGGAGATCCTGGCGATACCTGTCAATAATGAGGGAAAAGACGTCAGGATGGGAAGTAGTGGGGAGAGTACGGGCAGCGAAGGAAGTGAAAGCGAGGACGACGAGGAGAAAATGGAGATATGAGTGCGTGTGTGGGTCCATGTGGTATGTGGCGCGCGCGGCGCAGGGCCGTTCTGTCGACTCCAGCCGCACAATTGGCGATACTCTCGGAGCCCTTGGCGGGAGCCGGTACAAGTCTTAGTCGAGGTTTGCCCTGCGCCTGAGCACGCCGAAGACGGCTCTTGTTCGCCTCCCATCTGTTTGAAGCTCGTCTCACTGAGCTCGCGCTCAGGCACTTGCGCCGGATGGTATATTCCCGACGAGCGTATAGCACCATTCCATGTACTGCTTTAGTGTACGACATGATGATTATCCCATGCCACGGGTACCAACCGATGTGCCTACGACACTAGTAGACCTATGTGGTCATCTTTTGGATAACGTCGTCCTCGCAGTCTTGCTGATCGGTTCTGTGCTAGCGAACGCCCGAAGACGACAACGGCTTGTTGTTACCTAGACGACAGCAAGATCATGCCCAAATACCGCCGCGAGACCCTCGCGGCCTACGAGTACTCGAAGAACTGTCTTCTACATGATGATGGTATGGCGGGACATCGATGCAAGAATGTACGCCTCTCGTGCGCGAGGGTTGCAAAAGAGTTCACTCAGTTGGTTCTGAGTTGTATAGCACCACTGAGAGTGCAGCAGGAATTCAGGTGCAGGTACGACACAGACCACCGCAAGCGGAGAGACGGATAACCGCCCCGAAACGTTCAGGATTTCGGTTCCCGGCGGCTCGGCGACCATTGGGTTCACGTTCAATGGGATCTAGATGGGGCACCGATCCTAGCACTTTTCGCGCTCGCTCGGCTTGGAGCCATGGTTTGCTTGATTCCGTGTACCGTACGCATACGCGCGCGAACTTTTCTCGACTGTCCTTCCGCGTGTCCGTGTCAGGCTCGCTCTCCGCTTTGAAGCGCATAGCAGCGATTCAGATGTACATAACCGATTTGAAGCGATCGAACTGGTGCACACTTGTATATTGTAGACGCGCCTGGGGGTACACATGATAAGAGCTCGTCTACTCGTAAATCCAGCCACTCGGGAATTCTCGCTCAGGCTTTAGATTGAGATGACTGAGCGGTATGAGTGTAGCCCGCCTTTCTCTGAGTCTTCTGCCCACTGGGTGTTGTATTGAGGTTAGGATAGGATCTGACCAATTGATGATTATAGGGCGGCGCGAACTGGTCCCGGTCCCGATGTCGGTTGGACCGACTAGGCCTATGAAAGTTTGAGGCCCCAGTCTTTATGCAGAGACCTGACCAAAGCAACGCGTCGTACACACCTATGAGATCGTTGATGCCTACCCACTCGAGCCCGATGCTAGTCAAAAAGCGTTGATTGTTGGGTATGCTCTCGTGCAGAAATCGTTTCCTCAGGAATCTACAACACATAGATTAATGCAAGATAAACTACTTCCCGTAGGAATCGAATGGCAGCATCACGTACGGTATCCGAAAGCTTTCATCTGGATGCGGAGGCTCATGGACCTTGGCCCTCCCAGCGATGAGATCTTCTATATGGGACTTCGACATTATCCATGAGACAGCGACCTGCCCGTGATGAGTATCTTCTCCTAAGCAGATAGGAAGATATACTCCTACGGATCTCACTTCGGCGCCTGTGCCTTCCCCAAACTTTGATCGGAGGCACGTCGGCTCTCCGTGCTTAGGACACAGTCCGTGCATGCTATAATCACACAGCACACCGATCAACTTCTTTTGCCACGGGTTTGAATTGTCAGAGGGTGTTAGGCCGTTAGAGTGGCCGAGAAAGTCGTTCATGATAACACTGAGACAAATAACGCAAGGAGTCATTTAAACATTCTGGCGGCGAATGCAAGATGTGACGTACATATCCCCCATCTCGAAGGTATACCCATTGTGATCGAAGGGCGGTAGCTCGACCTTACTACCACAACGATGAGAAGGATGCATTGACCAGCGCACACACAGCCAAATACACACCAGAGTTCATACCACATCGAGTCCTTTTTGGGTTTCGCCAGGAAGTTCATGACACTCAACTTGGCGGTTCTAGAAGCGTTGGCTGCACTTGAGCTAGATGCGTATGCTAATCAGGTGTATGCGTCAGCAATGGCACGTCAGCGAGTGAGAAAAGCCGTGTATGTACCCTGCTCAATAGGCTGTCCCGATGGCTGCCCTGACGATGGTCGTGGCTGATTGCTCACCGAGCATCCCTCGTTCGAAGAGACACTCTGCGTGGTCACTGCGAAGGGTTCGTACCATGCGTCAAATAAGGCCACAAGAATACTCTCAAGTACGAACCGGCTGGCGCAGACGTCTTGACGCGCTTCTTTGCCTGACTGGCCGATGCTGGTTCAACAATATGATCGCTAGCCGGCCTCTTAGTGCCCCTGGGCTTGCGAGCGCGCCGGCATCTTACATCAGGTTCCTTATCGACACATGTGGCGCGGTACAGTCCACTCACTTGTACAAGTTCCTCCGCAGATGCCGTCTCGTTTTGAGGCTGGTGATCTTTACGACTAGACTTGTTGCCTGGGTTCGCGACTGCGGGAGACGCTGCTTTGCCGTGAGACACACCAGGCGCTTGCCTCATGGCGGTTTGTCCTATGGCGGCGTCTCCAGCACCGCTTTGACTGCCGACCTTTCTCCGTTCCGATGTCAGCGCATCCTTGAGCGCTTGAATTTCGTCTTTGTCAGCCATGGCGGTGCGCTCCAGTGACGAGATCAGCTCTTGTCGCGAGGCGCGTTGGGTTTGGAGTGCTACAAGTTCCTTCTCCGTGCGCGCGCGTACTTTGTTCTCCTCTTTCGCCTAGAGCCAGTCAGACTATGAGCGTACTTGAGATGGGCGGTTATCTGAATACCTTGATGATATATTCTTGCAGGTCTGCCCTCGCCTGCTGGGCATTCTTCTTCTCCTGTTGTAGCTGAACGGCAGGTCAGAACGGCTTTTGACGCATACTGAAGTTATGATACTCGACATACCTGACCCCAAATATACTCAATGTGAGTTTTGAAGTTCTTGTCCGCTTCGTCCATCGCGTTCTGGGCCTGCGTGATGACAAGGGCCTTGTCGCGTTCAGCCATCGCGAGCCTGTTCGCGGTATGGTCAAGCGCTGCCCTGTATTCACGCATAGATTGGTCCAAAGACAGAGCGCCGGAGCCAGAGGTGTAAGTGTTCGGATCAGCCATTGAGTTGTGACGGGAGAATCAACGGCTTTCTAGGATCCTAGGAAAGGGTGATGGTCAAGGGTCAACACGCGCAACGCGCACATGACCGCGTTATGGGTCCATGTATCTCTTCGGCGGTCGGTCCGCGTATCGCGCGCGCAAGAGGTGCGCAGTATCAAATTGAGCGCACCGCGGTGCTCTCCTCTTGCCGCCACCGTGCTTCTCCAGAATGACGAAGCCGTGCGGGTCGCCTGTTCGCATGAGCGACATACTATATCCACAACCGGAACTGTGTTCGCACAGCTTTCCTCAGCATACGAGAGCCGAACGGATACCAAAATAAGTCGCGCGTCGCCAGGCTGGTTACGCTTGGGTAAGTATAGCTCATTCAGTGACGACCGGCGCATCTTTTCATCGTGCCAGAAAAAGCGCTATCAGTGCATGCGTGAGTCTAGCGTCACTCTGGTTGAGCGCCAGCGTGCATCCTCGTACCCGAGAGCTTCTCCCAGGTGATGCTCACGGGCCGCAGCTCGCGCGGCGTACGGCCGTCGGCGCGTCGGATAGCAATAATTTCAATGGGATTTGAGATGTGTGCAGAGTTATGCGACTGTGCGCGTAGGATATGCGAAGGTGGATGGTGGAAGGAGGCCGGATGGAAGACGCGTGAGGAAAACGGCGGGCGCGCGTCGACGGGAGACGCGTCGAGGTTAAGGTTGGGATCGATGCCCGTTGCCTCCGACGTCCATGCATGTTGCGGCGCACAGCGAATCTTGTTCTTTCGGCTTTGTCCTATCACGCAAAGTCTTTGACTCGGTTCTTTAGTGAAGAAGCCCCAGCATCGCGAGCTCGTCTTCGGCTACTATCCCGATCTCCGCGAGTGGGCCCAAGCATTCAGCCCCGTCGTCTCTGCACTCCAGCAAGAAGTTGGCGCTCGAGCCTCTCACGTCGACAATCATTTCTCAACTACCTTTGATACGCGGCCGAGCCTAGGTGCATCTACGGCTATGTAGAAAATGGGTGGTTCTGGGCGCAGCGCCGATAGGACGTGTCATATTGGCTGGTAAATATTCTATCGGCGAGCATCGGATGAGCTTAGACGAGGTACCAGTTCCATCGCTTCACGCTCATTGGGCGCCAGCTACGTGCATACCTCGATTCAATGGGCTGGGTGTATGTAATAGCTCATACAATGCACTACTGGGCGCATACACCCCCGAACTTTCTCCTGATGGCGCAAGTGCTCACTCGATGACCCAGCCTTTCGGGACCACTTGATTAAGCTTAAGAGTAGGGTATTGCCTTATCTCGAATACGAGCTGGCCTTCTTTTCCCTTGATCGAGCCTGTACACAGTGCAGGACCCTTCCAATCGACGACAACGGGGCGATGTGAGCTAGCGCCGGTACCGATGTCGATCGGGCTGACCAGGCCTGAGAGATGTGAGACCTCAGCGGTTACGTAGACACTGGGACATGACAACATGCCACACATACCATCGAGATCACTGATATTCACCCATTCGACTCCGAGGGCAGTCGGAAACCGTTGGTTGCTGGGAATCTTTGCGTCAAAAAAGTGCTCTCTGAGCCATCTGAAGTATATGCATCAACGTAAACAAGGTATCTATTGAAGGGCGACACGATATCACGCACGTCGCTTCTTCGAACTGACGCTGAGGTATCATATCTCCGTAGCTCTTGATTCTCCCGGCAAAGAGTTTTTCGATATGATTCTGCGACATTATCCATGCGACAGCGACCTACCCGTGATGAGTATTTTTGGACCGGATAGAAAGATATATTCTTACAGATTTCGCTTTTGCGTCTGGTTTCTCTCCGAACTTTGATCGGAGGCACGTCGGCTCTCCGTGCAAAGTACATAGTCCATGCGTGCTATAGTTACACAACACACCGATCAATGTTTTGTGCCACACATCTGAGTCACTGGAGGGTAGACCGTTCAGGCGCCCGGTGGGGTCCTTGACGCTAACACTGTGACACAGAGACTGTATGAGTCTCTGAGCAAGATTGTGATGCAAAATGACACGTGCATATCCCCCATCTCATAGATATCCCCTTTGCAACCCGTGAGAGGCGGTAAATCCACTCGACTATCGCGATGATAAGAGTGAATTGACTGACGCGTGCGTTGCCAGAGACGCACCAATCCTTATCCCAAATCGAGGGAGACCTCGCAGTGACGAAGTGCTTGATACTCAACTTGGCGCCTCTGGAAGTTTTGGCCGGGCTTGAGCTAGACGAGGAAGCTGATAGACAATATGAATGAGCGATGCCGCAATGGCGAATGAGAAGTGCCGCGCATGTACCCTGTTGGACGGGCTGTTCCGATGGGCGTCCTGATGATGGACGTGGCGGATCGCTTACAGATTGTCCTTCATGTGAAGGGGCAGTCTGTGTGGTCTCTGGAAAGGTTTCGCGTCATGCGCCGAGTAAGGCCACAAGGGCGCTCTAAAGTACGAACCGGCTGGCATAGACGCTTTAACACGCTTCTTCGCACGACTAGTCGACGCTGGCTCGGCATTGTGATCGTCAGCCGGTCTCTTAGTACCCCTAGGCTTGCGAACGCGCTGATGTTTCCCATCAGCTTCCCAGCCGATATACGTAGTGCAGTACCAGCCACTCACTTTTGCGGTTCCCTCTCCAGATGTCGTGCCGGTTTGAGGCTGATCATTATCGCGAGTGGGTTCAGCACCGCCTTGACTTCCGACCTTTCTCCGTTCCAATGCTAGCGCATCCTTGAGCGCTTGAATCTCGTCTTTGTCAGCCATGGCGGTGCGTTGCAGCGACGAGATCAGCTCTTGTTGCGAGGCACATTGGGTTTGGAGTGCCGCAAGTTCCTTCTCCGCACGCACGCGTGCTTTGTTCTCTTCTTTCGCCTAGAGCCAGTCAGACAATGAGCGTACTTTGAGATGAAAAGCTACCCGAGTACCTTGATGATATAGTCTTGCAGGTCCGTCCTCGCCTGCTGAGCATTCTTCTTCTCCTCTTGTAACTGAACAGCAGCTCAGTACAGCGCTCGACGCATTCGTTACGACACTTCACATACCTGACCCCACATATCTTCAATCTGAGTCTTGAAGTTCTTCTCCGCTTCGTCCATCGCGTTCTGTGCCTGCGCGAGGACATAGGCCTTCTCCCGTTCAGCCATCGCGAGCCTGTTCGCGGTACTTTCTAGCGCTTCCCTGTATTCGCGCATAGATTGATCCGAGGATAGTGCCTCGGAGCCAGAGATGTAAGTGCTCAGACTGGCCATCGTGTACTGACGGGAGAATCGACGGTTCTGGGATCCTAGGAAAGGTGATGGTTTGTGATGGTCAAGGTCAACACGCGTAACGCGCACATGACCGCGTTATGGGTCCATGTATCTTTTCGGTAGTCGGTCCGTATACCGCGCACGCAAGGTGCGCAATCTCAGACCGAGCGCGCCGCGGTGCTCTCCTCTTACCGCCACCGTAGTTCTCTGGGATGACAAGACCGTGAAGACCGCCTGTTTGCGCGAATGAGCTATATCCACAACCAACCCTATGTTCGTACAGTGTCATGCTCTTGCCTCAGCATGCGAGCCGAATCGGCACCAAGAACAAGTTGCGCTCGTCGCAAGGCTAGTTGACGCCTGGAAAACTATAACTCGTTCCAGTGACGACCATCGCATCGCTCAATCGCGCCAGAAAAAGCGCTATCAGTGTAGGCGTAAGCCCAGCGTCACTTGGTCGAACGCCAGCGTGCATCCTCATATCCGAGCCGCTGTTCGGCACCACATCAGTACTTCGATCTTCACTGAAGACTAGGATGGTCAGTAGTGCAATTTCACAAGTGCACTATATGTACTATGGGCTCGAGGAGTCAGGATGCGAAGGTACAGCTCGTTGCCTGACGCAAGCAGATTCCGTTTCCAGACGGCAAGCGACGGTTCAGGAAGTAAGATGTCAGAGCGCTGCGAGCCTCAAGGTCTTCGCCGTTGGAGCTTGAAGCCTTACTTGTACCCAGCCCGCACACTCAGCAGAAGGCGGATGAACATGTGAGTGGTGGTGGCGGCGGTGAGGGCGCAGATGCTCACCCAAGCCGCTAGAAGAGATGGCGGGGCGCCGTCGGGTTTCTCGGACGAAGAAGCCGAACGTACGTAAGTATCCACCGTTCGATAGACTCGGTGCTATACCTAGTCCATACGCAAGTCAGAAGATGGTATCGTCGATGAAGCAGTTTAGTTTTCTACTGGACTACGACACGAATGCGCTGGTCAAGATCGAGTCGCGACATGCACCTGACCGCGTTTATGGGTCCAGGGGTTCCTCCGGTCGTCGGCCCGTGTAACCCGGGCCTAGTAGCTCATTTCCGGAGGTGGCAATATCCGACCCGCCATCTTCGAGTTGCTCCCCGGCCGCCTCTCATGAAGCCACATCGTAGCGCTCATCGAGAGCCTCATACTATTCATCTCCCCCGCATCCACCATACCCTCGACCGTTCTCGCCCACATCCTTACAAGAGGGACAACATCGAACCCGTATTCTGGAGGCAAGATAAAAGCTACGCCGAAGAAAGCCGAGAAGTTGGCCATCCTGTAACGCGCCTCCATCGGCACAGCAGGGTCATTCGAGATTGTCATTACCCGCTCGTAGAAACGCTCTATCTCTGACACTAGACGCATCTTGCGGTGTAGTGTCAGGGGAGACGCTGGATTCGTGAGCAGCCATGACACCACATCCCTATTGAGCGGTTGGAGATAACCGCCAAACACGGTGCGGAGATCGTCATAGAGCAGAGTTGTCGAGGCAATCTGTCGGTGACGGTAGTCTTGCAACATGTAGAGCAGCCTACGAGTGAGCTGCTTTTCGGTGTACCAACGTCCCGGTATACTTCGGGCCTCAAGCTCCAGATACATCCAAACGCGCATGTACTGCTATACTTTGCAATCAGCGAGACGCACGGCGTAGAATGGTCATGAACGTTCTCGTACTTCGATGACTTCAATCGCGCCGTTATCTTCTGGGCTGCAGCGGTGCCGCTCGAAAGACCCGTTCCAGAGGTAGTCAAACCTCGGAAGATCGCGCTTCATAAGATCGTAAATCTCCGCCTCGAGGATCTCGGTCTCTTCATCTTCTATCCTCTTCAGTTCCAGGGCAGTGTCGATGCCATGGCTTTTGTATCTTGCCAGCACTTGTCCGAAGTCGTGCCACCGCCTATCAATATGCGCGATCTCTGCGCGCATTCTCATGCGCTTTCTTGCGTTTTGTGAGCTGTAGGGATTGTCACCGGACATAGTACGGAGACGCCTCCAGAGGACTCGGAATGTAGAGCCGATGCTCAAGAGCTGCAGTGTGAGGGAGTAAGAATGAGGAAGTGGGAGGCCGTACCGCGCCCCTTTCAACAGTATGAGCCGCGGGGAAACCACACTGACTTCGACGTTTGTGGCGCCATTCCGTCTAGTTGAGCCAATCAATCAGACGTAGCGTTGCCAAAAAGACGCTTCTCTTTAATAGAAAGATGTGTATACATTGAGATCAAATAGAAACGGTGCTATACAAACAGCTCAAGTACGTTGAGAGCCTAGTAGTGCAGCAGCATAGAGGGGATCTTGAACTTCCCGTTCGTCTGACGTTCGTGCAACCACATCGCTGCACTCATCTCGAGCCCGCCCATCCCGTCATCCATATCCTCAAGGGACCTAGACCAGTCGTCTACGAGATCGTACATCGCTTGCATATGCCCGCTCCGAGGGATGAAGATGCCGCGGAACCAGATCTTAAACATTTGATCCAGTGCAAACTCGCCCAATTGGGCTGCATTATAAGACGCATCGCGGAAACGCTGGACTTCAGAGATGAGACACATCTTCTGCTCGAGGGTGTCCAGTGCTGGGCTGTTAAGAAAATAAGCCAGAATATGTTCATCAAGCCATAACGGCTCCGGATAGTTGAGCCTCTTGTAAAGGTCGTCCGCGGCGGCCGCTTGAAACATACGGTGCTTGAGTAGGATGGGGCTGAGTGCAGCTTCGTATTCTTCGTCGCTCTGGCACTTCTGGCCGCGAGGCGCAGTGGCGCTCGCTTCTTGCTCCAAGCAGTTCCATAGACGCTGATACCTCTGTGAAAGGCTTCTGTCAGTTATAATCGACAAAATCAAGATGGACCAATAGACGAACCTCAATGACCATGATGTGGTTGATGTCGTCTCCCTCGCATTCTTCAAGGGAAAGTTCGCTGTTCCTCTGCCACATGTAGGCGAACACAGGAAGTCGATTGAGGCGAAGCCAGTAAACGTCGCGCCAGACAAGTTCCTTCTGCTTGGCCTCTAACTCCGCTGCTTCCGGCCCTGATTTCTCGTTGGATTTGAGCAAGACGTTGCGAGAGCAAGCCAGTGCGTGCCACTCCGCATCGAGTTGTACAATTTCTTTGTGCATCGTGGTTCGTTCTGCTCGGCGCCGGCATTCGCGGGGGGTTTCGAGGCGCCGGCCAGTGGTGGAGGAAGTGGATGGCATACTGCCGATTTGTGTGTAGAGCGAAGAGAAGAGGGAGGATGAAATAGGGGAGACCATCGCTAGGCCTTTTAAACCCATACATGTGGTTAGCCTGGTCGGACAAGCAAGAGGACGCAGTTGACGTCCGTCAAAGGGGTCCGACCACGCTACGCACGGTGGCCTTTGTATCCCAACAATTATATACAGACGGGACCAAACATGTGAGCCACGAGAGAGCTGTGGATTGACACACATCCGTGACATGACGGAGATCGCTGTGAACAATGAGCCGTAGGTTATGGCCGGATCCAAGACCACATCCCAGAGCCACAGCGCCTCAACTTGGACTGCGGCTTGGTCAACAAGGCTATCAAGGCAAGCCATCAATCTACGCATAACGTAGCGAGTGACCATGAGGGAGGTTTCCCATGGGCTCAAAGGCACTTGTGAGCGTACATAGACATGGACGTCAAGAGCAAGAGCTGACCGAGACGCGCGAGAAAAACTGAGTACGGGCATGTGACCGTGTCGTGACACGTGTCGGCAAGTTCTGCTTTCGGCGACGTCAGCGTTGGCTTGAAGCGCACCGCAACTGAGAGCAGCGCTCTTCGCATCTTTCCTTTTACCGTCATGGGGTGGTTTAGTGGCTGGTTCCAGAAGGTATGCCACTCGAACTCTGCACAGTACAAAATATATACTGATCTGCACAGAGTGAATCAGAGGACTATGAGGTGGTCCTGGCCGCACTGAAGGCTGATATTGAGAAACGGCGCATCCGTCTTTCGGAGCTCCGACTTCGCGAACGGCGAACAACTTTGGCCTCGACACTTTACGCTCTGGCTGGCTGGGGCTTGTACGTTAGTCTCTGGTATATGGAGGTCCTCCCTCGTCCAGGATTCAGTACGGCAACGGATCAGCTTCTACGCGGTGCACCTGTGTTTATTGGACCCATCTTGTGCGCAATCGCGTCCCTAGAAGTGTTGATCTCCTCTGATGTATAATCCAGGGTACTTCTTGTACGTCGTTTGGTGCAACTGTGGTATAAACGCAAAGGCGATGCGGAAGGTGCGTGTTCATCGCATGTTCACACAACACGCACTCATGACACGGCGCAGAGAAGGCGTTGCGTGAACTATCCAAACAGCAACACACGAAAATCGAGGAGATCAAGAAGAAGACGAACTACTACCAGATGCGAGAGATGATGGCCAAATACGACGAAACGCCTGGTAGTGGCGCGCCAGCATCCCCCGCACCGCGGCAGCCTCAGCAGCCTCAACCTCAACAACCACTCCCCGCGACACCCCAGCGGCGACCGATACCCCAACAAGTACAACAGAGGCCCATTCAAGGCTCGCCCAATCCGTTGCTACTCCAGACACCTCTCCGCCCGGGCCTCCAAAGCCAGTTGATGCGTATGTCCTTTTTCGGCTCCGGACCGAACGACGTACTGATGGAATCAAAGCATCACCTCCACAACCTCTTCCACCTCCGCGCAAGCAGTGGTATGACAAGCTGGCAGACGCAATCCTCGGCGACGACGAGACAGCTGCGGCCTCCCGCTATGCGTTGATCTGCCAGAAATGCTTCACGCATAACGGACTCGTGGAGGCTAGCAGATACGAGGAGATGCGTGAGTTGGCACATATCTCAGCTTGGTCCTTATTCAAACAGTCACCTCAGAGTACACATGCCCGAAGTGCGGCCACTTCAATCCCTCTCCCCGCACCTTGAAACAAGGCGGGTCCAAGTCGCCGGTTGGCAGATCGCCTGTCGAGAGCAGTCCCGTATCGCCCTCACCAAGTCCATCTATCAGCCAAGCCAATGGGCCCCCCGTTGCTCGCGCAGCACGCGGTCCGTCTGGCTTGCGCAAAAGCACTTCCTCGACTCCGATCCAGGAAGAGGGCGACAGCAGCCTGATGGACGTCGACGGCGACGACTCACCGTGAATCCCTGCTTCTCGCCTTCAGTGACTTATTGGATATTCGGTCAGGCCTTCATTTTGCCGTGGATGTATCGCTCCAGTAGGTATACTATTTGCTGATGTATAATCGATCGACAATACAATTGTCTTGTACTGTAAGTTGCATCTGATGTGTAACTCACCGCAGGGGGACTTCGGCTTACTTCGGCCGTGGACATCCAGATTTGCCGTACATCTCTGCCAGATCGCCAACACCAGATCGTGCAACGGTGAATCTAGCGAATGTTCGCATGCGGGAAGGCCAAGTCTACTTGGACCATACCAAGATGCAAGGTAGCCTTGCCAACGGCCGGCTTCAAGGGATTCAATCGACTTCCTCTCGCCGTCACTCGGTATACAACCGGAACACAGTCAACGGGACCGAATACCATTCAAACAGCTTCGCACATTCATTTGGCTAAACATACGCCCAATACGCTGTCAAGAGACGTGGCAATGGCTTCTCCAGATGCGTATAAACACAGCGGAGAGTCTGTCGGCCTCCGCGGATTGGCGGCGCGGTGCTTCGACTCACTTCTTCATCTCCTTCTCAGTCTAAACGGACAATTTCATACAGATCCCCCTGCACCCGCCCCTGCTTCTCTTCTCTTCTCTTCCTGTACCTCGTCGTCCCATGCGATGACACCCACGTCGAGGCGCTCGGGGTCTATCTCACGCGCCACGACGGAGCGCTGTTGTTTCGCTCAGGCGCCGTCTTCGAACCCATATGGACCGGGTTGTTCTATCCCCATGCCTCGGTGCATTCCGAGGGCTCCAAGCGTATTGCGTGTCATGCGCTACAGAGCCAGCCCGCAAACACCTGCGCGCGCGCGCGCCTTCACGCCCTCGAGCGCCTCATGCCGCCAACTATCAGAAGCGCAGTCAGGCGGGCCGCCCTCAGTGATTACCTGTCGCGTCGAAGCTATTCAGAACGGCGAGAAATTGATATGCTTGAACCGCCGGGGTGCGAAGTTCGGGGATGCACGCCACGGTATGGGGAGCCGACGGGCATTGAGCGCATCGGAAACTCCGAGCCGTGGATTCTACATACCCTCCCGATACGCCGAGGCGCGAAAGACAGAGCCAACTTCTCGCGCATACTCAGCGCGCGCGTATGCGTCGTCATCGCCGACAGCCTCCAGTCGTACTCGCTACTGGGTGTGGGCCCCGCACTAACTGCGTCATCGGTCATGGCCTGCAACGTGTTGGATGTGCGGTGCCCAACGAGGCAGGCGATGGACGCTTGAACCTGCCCTCGGCCCTGAGGCCGCCTCGTGTAGGCAGCGTGTTCAGTGAGCTTGTCATGATATATCAGACTGTCAGGGCCGGGGAGGGCGTACGTCTTTCGCCCATTGATCTTCGTCTGCCTGCTGCTGCCGTGGCCAGCGAATCCCATTATCATCGAAAACTACAGCGTGTCCTCCGACCGTCTTTCTCATCGTACCTTGAACGAGGAGGCGCACTTGGAGATGAGAGACCTGTGCGCACTGCGCAGGGGAAGCACGCTCCGAGCCGGGCGGCGCCTTACCGTGCGGTGGCTCGTCTGGCCCCAGGCATCCCTCCCGTACCCCAGTCTCCTACGCTACCGGCATCCTTTCATCTTACGGATGTCTTACGGATATGTGAAGGCGTGTGCGCCTGGCCCGATTGCTGTCGGGTCGGAAAGTTTGCGTGCGGGATCAGTGCGCATGAGCAGGTACGAGGCGCGATCTCCATTCTTCAGGACGAGGGTGGGGTACTGTACTCTTCCATCAAGAACGACGCGATCCGTACGACCTAGACCTGGGCTGAATCGTCCTGATGCGCCGTCGAATCTTGAACGTTGGCACACTGGGTATGAAGGAGGATAACATGTATTGCCGAAGGACGACATGTTACAATTCCTTATTGTCTTGAGGTCTTCTCTGCTTTGCGGCGCTTCATATCCCGTACTTATGAAGGTCATGAGCAGCTCTAGACCTCGGCTTTCGCCAGTCCTGTCAGTGAACGACCCCAGACCGGTCAGCTTTATCGCGCCATGTCGGGCTGTGCGTACCTCATCGAACCAGGCCAAGTCAGGAGGCGGCTCCTGCACAACGTATAGGCCGTGCAATGATACCTGATCGGTCTATCTGCTCTTTAGCGTGTGCCACCCATCACTGGGTAGGCTCGAGAATACTCTCACCATATGCGTGCGCCCTATACACAATGCACGATCGCGCTCTACCGGAGATGAAGCGCGGTCCGTACGGTGCGTCGCGTTGCATCTAGTGCTATGAGATGTATTCACTGACTGGCCGGTAAATCATATCTTTAGATGGCGTCGGAGTCCGATTCCTGGCTCAATTCTTTGCTGCGCGGAATTTGAAGACTCAGCACAGTGTAGTGCGTATTTTGTCTTTCTTGAAGGCTCGTCATGGCTCATATGCTGTCATAGAATATCTCGTATGCAGGAGTATCATAGGCGGACCTGGCTCAGCGAACTTCTTGTGTGCCATAATGGAGTTGCAACGCAGAAATCCGAAGACATAGGGCTGAGCAGGATTCCAATGCCATTACTTGTTCCGTTTGCTTGACATGAGTCCCGAGTCTACGCGGACTCTCCAGCTCTCGAAAGAGTGAGGTGCGCCTATTTTAGGCTTTCGAGACTTTGCTGTCAACGGCTTCTCCGAGCGGCTTGCGCCTGAAGCCAACAGCGGCGAGAGCTACCATGCTGGCGTGCTACGCTGCCCTGTGCAGAAGCATGCTTATCGTACGCGCCGCACTTTTCGGTCTGTCAGATGCAACGGAACTCGCACAACATGACTTTCCGCTAAGCAAGTTGTATGCCAGTTTCATAATCTCAGGCCATGCTATCCGATCCGAAGCGTTGAAACAGTTTCATTCCACCGAACGCGCGCCACCCAGTGAGCTCCTCTGAGCTTCTCGACTATCATCTGTCTCCACGGCTGTACGATGGCAACGCATTGGCGCAAAGCGTTGCGCGGGCCGGGCGACAACCACAGCAGTGCTCTTCCCTCATCCCAAAAAGTCGTTCGTTGTTCGTGCACGGAACGTCGCAAGCTAGGAGCCCACTTCCTGGGCCTTGTTATTGGTACCGTACTCACCAATGCGGCTTCGTTGTAGTTCCTTCTCCAGGCCCGCATGGCGCTGATTAACCCATATCAGGTCTCCATCGGGTGGCAGATTCTCCCTCGTCGGCGGCCCAGTCGATATGAATGAGCTCGCATCATCCAGTCCACGGGATCGTACGGGCCAAGGGAGCACTCGCCGACGAGACCAACTCCGATATCGCAAGCTCACAGCCACGTATCAGACGGCTCACGAGCCACAAGCTGGCGCACTTCGCCGCTAGCTATAGTAATATATTGACAGCATCAGCAGAGCACATGAGAACGCATCCGGAGTTCTTTTCGCCGTTCATCTGGCGTAATTGAGGGTCGACTTTGCGAGCTCTGGCCCAGCGTGCGCAGATGATAGCCTCGTAGGCGCAGCCACTATCTTGGATATTCATACATCAACGCCACTCAGGACAAGGCGTCGCTCATGAAACGGCGGGGGGCGAGGGCGACGCAGACGTCGGGCTTCCGGAACCCTCCATTCTTCGCAGATAATGCCACATCAAGTCTACGTCAGCACGGCTCTCGGAGAACTCGCACGTGCGGGAAGATGTTCTTCTCTGAAAGGCAGCTGTGGCCCGAGAAAGCCTCGCACTAGCTCAAGCGCCCAGCGCGCTACAGTGCTTATCACACACGTTGCGCGACATGGCCTCCTCGTGCTCGCAGAGTGACTTTGCCACTAGCCGCCGCCCTCGTGAGGTTTTGAGAGTGTCGGTTGCTACAAGTGGCGGGACCAGGCAGAGGCAAATGCGCTGCAAGAGATCAACTGTGGATCTGTGTGCCGGCACCTTTTCGAGCGTGGTGGGTTAATACATAATCACCATCTGATTGGCTTTCGAAGCTGAAGAGGACGCAGAACTGCTTATGGCATGGCGTGCGGGCGGACGAAGCCGTTGGGAAACGTATAGTCAATGATACATCTTCAGTTCATTGAGTCAGTAGTACGGCTGTCAGCCGGAAGCGCTCCCAGATAGGCGTAGGTCTACTAGCCTGGTGCTGTTGACCATCCCCAAACCGGTTCGACAGGTGAAAGGAATCATAGCTCTCACAGAAGAGGCGCTGCTAGACAACCACTCTAGCGTTGCGACATATCGGATGCTACCGAGGTCGACACGCCGCCCCAAATGCGGACTGTGTCTCACTTCGAGGCGGGGATTAAATCTAGCGATCTAGATTGAGAGCCTGCGGCCAAGCTGCAACGATCTGCAAAGATGCACCGCACCGGACGCTTGATAGTGACGCTATGTCGACGGCGATTGTGGATCTACGCTACGTCTAGATAGTCATGCAGTAATCACGAGTGAAGGGGCATGGATACAGGCAACGAGTGTGAGGTAGAGCAACAAGGAGCGCCAAAGTGGGAAATCTCAACTGGTCCACGCGCGTAGATCAGCGACTGTTCTCGCATTCTATTGCAGTGCTGGGCCGGCGCAGCAATGGCCTTAGCATCAACAAGGGCCGGATGAGCGGCGAGGGTGCATTGTCCCAAAGACGATGTCGATGTCGACTGGGAGGTTCACGACGTGGAGGGAGAGGTGCAAATGGTTGGAGTTGACGCGCACGGGCGGATGAACCGCAGGCCACAGCGGAAGCAGACGCAATCTCAGCGCCGTACCCTCGGAACGTCGCTGAGTTGGCGATGGATGTTCGTCGGACGAGATAAAATGCGCGGGAAACGCTAAAAGGGACGCGAGAAAATAGGACTAATCCGGAAACAAGCGCCTGATGGCCGAGCCAGCAGGTTGGTCGAATGAACGATCTGAGCATCTGCCTTTCTGCAGTCATGACCGTACGTACTATATATCTCGCACGTCTTCCGGCGCCCTCCCGGCCCTTTTCGCCGTCCACTTGCGCTGTCCCGCTGCGTTTACTCTGTCCTCCTCCCTCCTGAGAAACCATGCCGGCCGATCGTAAGCGTAATTCAAGGAAAGCTAAGAAGGAAGGCGCTGCCTCCAGTACGCCTGGTACGTTGGCATCAATCGCGCGCGCTTCTCGAGACAGGGGCTCAACGCGCTCGTGGCACAGGGATGCAACTTACTTGGACAATGCCTGTCGAGGCGGAAAACGTGACCGGGATCGAGTTTGCCTCCTCGCTCACGCCGACGTCGTTCCGTGATAACAAGAAGAAGTTCGTACCCGTATCATCGCCCGATGTCGCCGACGACGTCAAGGCCAGTGCCCCTGCGGAGCCGACGCTCTTCCCTCATGCAGCACCGGCGGTCGACGGGCCTCGCAAGCCGACGCACCAGAAGAAGAAGGCGGAGAACCACATCCCACGGCCGCCCAACGCGTTCATCCTGTTCCGGTCATCGTTCATCAAGAGCAATCACGTCTCTAACGAGGTGGAAACGGATCACAGCCAGCTCTCCAAGATCATCGGCATGACCTGGCAGAGCATGCCCGAAGACGAACGCAAGTTCTGGCACTCCAAGGCGTTGGACGCGCAGGCGGAGCACAAGAAGAAGTACCCGAACTACGCCTTCCGCCCAGCTGCTTCCCGGGCCGCCGCGCCTTCCAAACGCAGAGTACGCGCTGACGTACAGCGTGATGGCGAGCGCTGTGCGCGGATCGCCGAGCTGCTGGTCGAAGGAAAGAAGGGCGAAGAGATCGCGGTAGCCATCAAGGAGTTCGACAAGCAGAATGCGAAGCCTGTCATCGCGCGCTTTGAGGAGCCTGTCACCGCGCGCCAGTTCCGCCGGTAAGTCCTGTTTTAGTTCGCTGTATACCATTTCCGGTCATTGACCATCTCCACGGCACAGGCGTTCCTGTTCGCAGCCTCCGCCAGAGATGCAGCCGCTCTTTACGACAATGCAGTTTGTGACGGAGGAGCCCACCCAGCCCTCGCAACGTCGCGTTCGTGCGGCCAGCTCGCAGCCCTCTTCGCGTAGGACAAGATCTCGAACAGCCGCCTCAACGCCCGTTCCCGAGTCTGGCCCTTCAACGCCCGCGTCGACCACACCCGCAGCATCCTCGCCGTTCACGTCGTCATCTTCACTCGTGGACTTGCCAGAGGACTCGGAGATGCCGCCTCTCGTGGCTCGTCCTCCCGAGTTCGACATGGACTTCACGCAATACTCATTCGAACCATCGCAGCCCTTCGTGAGTTATCTAGGCTTGACCATGAACGCCTTGTCCTAATACTCATTCCGTAGGCATTCGACGCCTTTACCTTCAGCTCAGGAGGCAGCAGCTCGCCCTACGTTGAGTCCTGCGATCCCCTCACTCCGGCAACACAATCGTCTATGGGTGACAGTGGATATACCGAACATGGCTATGCACCATTATCCGCGGCTGCACGGTCAAACGATCATACTTCGCACAGTCCATATCCGCCGCTGTCTATTGATACGTCGTTCTTTGGCTCTTGGAACGTACCGCCTTCATCCTCGCCGTTCTCCAATTCACCTGGTGGCTTTGCGGCGTCAGATCAGCCCCCTCCATTCTCGGCGCTCACGCCCGTGGCTGCTCCTGACTATACGCATACCGACTACTTGCCTGTGGCTCCAGCTGATAGCTCTGGTAACTTCGATCCAAGTTATGGGCAGGCTGGATACGTTCCTGCGCCACCGTATGGTGATTTCACAAATATCGGCGCCCCTGCGACGGCACCTTTGGACGACTATACGCTTCAGAAAGGAGATTATCCGTTTTATACGCACAAAGTCGCTGGCGACGCGCAACATTCTTACCCGATACAGGATATGCATTCCTATCCGCCACAGGAACTATATGGCAGTTATTCCGTATGATTTATCGCTCTTTAGTACACGCCTACGCTATCCACTCTCTCATACGCACCATCATGGATTCTCGGAACTCTGCTATGTGACACCCGCTTTCCTCTTACTCTCTGTACACTAGGTTCACCCCCCTCCGGTCTGGGAACCGCCGTCGTCAGAAAGTTGTATCACCGCCCACGTACAACCTCCTGCCGTCGTATACCAACCGCTCCCACCTACACCGTTTCCTCCCTCAGCCATCTCTAACGCTTCTTCTGCGCCGTACCCATCTGTGCGATCCGCCCGCTCACTCAGCCTTCTTCCCGTCTCCTCCCGCTTCTCCCATGCGCAACATCCCACCTCGTGGACCACCATACTAAACTATCTACGTCCCCGCTTCGCAGACACACACGGCCTCACCGCTGTTCCGTGCGCATCTTCTCCATATTACATACGAAGTCGGTGTACATAGTTTTGTGGTGGAACGCAGGCCTCCCCACATTGTATAACAAGTGCATACTATTTACATGCCGCTTGTGAGCGTCGGTGCAGCTGAATAGTGCCGGTGTTGAGGAGCATAAGCTCGACCTCACCACGGCTGCAGAGGACGCGCGCCTATTGAAGTCAACCCTTCTGATAGAGCTTCGGCGCCCAGAAAGCACCTAGATCTAAGGCTCGATAACGCTCGATGGCATCCATACAAGATCGGTCATGCGCAGCAAGCCACAGGGCACATCTCAAGGTTACTTCGAGCATGATCAGTGGCTGGAGGCAGTCTGAACCGTGGACACTGCGCGGCTAAGAAGCCGGGTATCCTGCGGCGTGGCTTAGGTGTTCCCCCGAGCTGTCCTTCGCGTGGGGGACATGCAAAAGACACTCTAACGGACACGAGGTGGGGATCCTCGAGGCGGCGCATAGAGAGTAAAAGCTTTGGGTTGGGGAACGAGGGTACGTGGCCGTCGGGTAAGTCGCGGCGGTGAAGTCAGGGACCACGGAGATCGCCGCGCGCCCAATTGAAAGTCTATATTGCTTCGATCGGCTTGACGAGCGCAGGAACATCTGCGCCAGACTGGTGAGCGAGAAGGCAGCTAGGGAACCGAATCTCCCATGGAGAGAAAGGGCGCGGGCAGACGCGGTCACGAGAAACTCCGTAAACGCTTGCACTCTCGCTGATCTTCCTCGAGACGGCGCGCCGGGCGCTGGTAAGTTCTTCCCCGGCTTCGCCTTGGGCGGGCGAAGTCACGCCTCAAGACACGAGGCGGAAGCGGCGGTGGCTGTTTACGAGAAAGGGCGGCGGGCCGCCGAGGATAGAAGGTCGGGTGCACATGGGGTGGCAGGCGCTGAGAACGCCGTCAAGACACCGACGTCGGCGGTCTTGCGCGCTCCCATTCGGCCATCTGCACGGAATAGACGGACATTGTGAGATGTGATGAGAACCGATGTTCAAATGGATCGAGGTGTAGTAGGAGGTAATGACAGCCGAGATGCGGATGAACGGGATTGCATGGTCGGTTCTTCGACGGGTCCGGAGGGAGGGAGGAGCGGTCCGCGCTGGTCCGCGAGCTGAGGGAATTGATGCCGGCGTAACCTCAGGCCACTGGTGTAAGCGATTGCGGCACGCTGGTCGTGTAGAAGTTGTGGAGAGTGACGAACAAGGCAGCTTGAAGCTTGAAGGCCCAAAGCCGTTCGATCGAACTCGGAAGCGGCTGAGCATACGGAATGGGCCGGAGCGTACCGCGTAGAGTACCAAATAGGAAGTTCGAGTTGAAGTGGAGTGAGCGCTTGTCTATACGAAATAGAGAACAAGGTGCAAGGGGCGCACCGTCGCCAGACCCGTGGACAAACTGATGCTACCAATTCTCGTACACGCAAGCTCGCACTGGCGCTTATTGATCAAGTCTCTGGGTGCACATACATCGCGGTCGGGGGATGGGGGGATCCTTTGCTCAGCGCATCTTGACACGGAGGGGCTTTAAGCCTTGCGGTCCAGAGATGTTGCCATAATTGAAGGACAAAGGAAGAGACCTGAAAGGGACACACGCGTGGGACAATGATCGACCACATGCGGTCGACTCGGGCCCGCCACCTAGTCGCGACGTCAGTGAAAATCATACCTCAGCATTGGATAAACCTACTAGCGTGAACAGTGGGATGTGGGAGGAAAGGTAGTGGCTAGATCACCCCCAGAAAGAGGCTCTTATAGGAGGCGCAATCGCACTGACTCGGCAGAGAGAGTTCCCTCGACCAAGTGCCGAGCGTGGCGATAGAAGCTGAGCCGACCGCCTAGTACAACAAGAGTACGCGACAGATATAGCAGATAACCGCGTGGTAGTGCCAGAGATCTTGCGTACATCGGAGAATAGAAGATGTCGACGGTATGCCAGTGCTGGGCGATGACAGATGCTTACGGTCTCACATTACCTGTTACAATCATACAAGCGCCCTAGCTTCAGCAAAACACAGCATCGCCTAGATATCGTAATCAAACACCGATATCGAGCGACCGGGTGGATGGTACATGACATGGAAGGCGCGATATGCTCCCTCCGCAGTCTGGCGCAGGCCTTACAGAGACGATTCCCTATACGTGGATGGTGAGAGAGAGATGAGAGATGTTCATGTATAGGAGCGATGCTTCTGTATGCATAATGGTGGTGCGGTGCAGTCGATCGACAAGTGGAAGTTCGAATGCGCGCGGCAACTGAGACACGGGCAAATGCCAATACCAGTGGACGCGGTCACCTGAGTTCAAGAACAGGTTCTAATATGGGCAAGTCCTTATTAGACTCCGCACAATGTTCAGGCGATCAATCGAGCTTCCAATTGTAAAAATGAGCGATCCGTCTAGGAAGCTAACCTAGGGTCAATAGAGTCTGTGCTAGGGATACCGCCGTGCTTAACACCGGCAAAGTACGAGCAAATTTGATAGAGCATATCGAGGGGCAACAAGCGCTATCGACGTCATGTCTAACGGTATGACCAACGCTTGACATCCAAGAAGGTTGGCGTAAGGGGGTTGAAATGGGAGAAGGAGGTTGAATGGGAGAGATGGTCGTTGGACGGCAAGAGTTGCAGGTCATTCGCGTCGCGAGAATTACGCCGGGCTTTGCCGTGATGTAGCCAGAGAGGGGCATATGTACCGTGACGACTCCGTTCACGAGATAGTTAGATCGCCCGCTGAGGAGACAGTGTTCTAAAACGGCACATGCCACCTTTTACAGTAGGGGAGAAAGCTATCTGAGTCAAGAGTCAAGACAGCATCGACGGCAGCAGCCGGCTCGACTAGCGAACAATGACTCCAGTTGACAGAAAGGTTTTGATTGGGTCAGCGAGCGCAGCCTCGCAGCCGTAGACCTGTCGTACTTGGGAACAGCTCTAGGTTCTAATACCGAGTACTTCTTATGACTTCGTAGGGCTGTAGGCGTACAAGGACGCCTCTGGCGTTCAACAGGGTCCAATCAGGCAAGCTGGCGGCCATGACGCGAGCTAGAACGGCCGCACCGCCTGCGCCACAGCGGTTCGTATGCTCTTGCGTGTGCAATCGATGCCACACCGGACCCTTCGAAGTCTGGGCAGAGGGCGGAACGCGCGCGGCGGGAGCGCAGCAGCAGCAGGAGATGCCCGATGCCCGAAAAGGAAATCAAGCACGCGCGCGTCGGGCGTGGCGGGGATGCGCATCAGTCTTCGTGCCTGTCATCGATGGTGGGCATCGTCGTTCTTTGCATCCCAACTGTCATGATGCGGTGCGCTTCAAGGCTTCGTCGCCGCTTCCCATCGTGAGCACGGTGTGAAAGAAGACGGGCGCCAGATTATGACTCGAGAATGGGCTCGGGCACGTCGGAAAGCGTTCGCGGGTCGGACAGGTGATGTGCGTGGTTCGCGGCGGTCGGCACCCATGCGGCGCCCGCTGTGGGAGGCATCGCCCGCCGGTTACCGTTTTTGGGCAAAGGCGCGGGGGAACCGAAGCCCGCCGCGCGCCTTCTGCTTGATGGCCCTTTCCCGCCACCGTCGCGCTCCCTCAAGCTACGCTCCGACGCGCAACCGACGCCGCCAGGCTCCATCAGGCCTAGAGGCGGCGGGCGGGCCCGCCCAGTATAAAGGGCCTCGTCGTCCCGCCCTCCTTGTTC